ACGAGTCAATGGAATTTACCACAGCTATAACAACTTTACCTAGAATATACCAGAATAATTTACAGATAGCTACACAAAATGTACCTACCACCCAATCAAATTCTTCTGCTTCTACGTTTGACAATAGTAGAAGTCATTTACTATCAAACAAAACTATTATTTTTCATGATAATTCTGTGACATTTACAGATGTATTGCCACCACTTAATAAAAGCGGTAATATGGAAGGAAAGATAATTGTATATTCTGAATCAAATGAAAATGATAATGAAGGTGTAACAACAGCAGAATCTCAACCTGAAGATTTTGACACAGATTTTACTAAAGATAGACAATCAGCATTACCTGATAGTGTTCAAAATAGAAACCTTCCAGATTTTTCAACCTGTACAGATAATGTCTTAAAAGATATTACTGCTACTATAGCAATTCCTTGTTTATTAAACTCAGATACAACCTTGAATAAAGAAAACTATATAGATAAGGAAAACAATTTTCCAAAAAGTGTAGAAAAAAATGTTCTGGAAAAGTATACTCCAATTAAAGTTCAGAGTTCTGCAAATATTACACCTAGCATGCCCTTGCATGAGTCAGTGCAACAAGATACTTTTGCTTTAGCTTTGAGAGAAAATAACACAAAGATAGCTTGTGCTACATTTAACTCTGTATCAAATGATGCTTCCGCTGTAAATTCTGAGTTAGATAAAGATAAACACTCACCAGTTAAATGCACACAAATAATTACATCACATCCAAGAAGAACATATACAATTCAACCATCAAATAGTAATCACACTTTTACAATCAGCAACAAAGAAAATAACATTTCAGAAATTAACAATGATATTCTTGATATAAGTAACAAGGAAAATAACGTATGTAGCGTTTTGAATAATACAGAATGTTTACAAAATAGAGATTATAATAGGGAATGCTCAACGGATAAAAGCGATATGTTTTTCAATGAAAATGTGGAAGTATTAGAATCAATTCCATCATTACCATCATTTAATTGTTTGGATGATTTGACAGATACAGATATGAATGTTAGTTACAATAAGGAAGTTACGATAGAAGCAAATTGCCTTTCAAAAAATGGGAATAGTAAAGGACCTTTAAATCTTGAGGATTGTCAAGGAATTGTATTAGAAGAAAATGTGCGGAAATCTTGCACATTTCTGATAAAACATACATCTCTAAATGATGCACCAGAGAATTCAAAGCTTGAACAAGAGGATCAAGTGCAAACAGGTGAAATCCAGAAGCTGGAATTGCCGGATGTGAGAGATAATAGTACAGAGTCTCAAATTTTACACTTATCGTCTTCAACAGTAAATGATAGTGAAAAATTATCTTCGACGCCCGTTAACGAAGAAAATGATCAAGATTTACGTTTGAACAATTCCAATTTAGAAAATCAAAGCATAGAATGTTCTTTATCAAATATAAGAGCTATTCATGAAAGTACTCCAAAAGCTGATAATGATAAGTTAATTGATACACACAGAATGGAAGTAAATAATGAATCTTATTCAAACGATAAATTGCAACTAAGTTTGGAACCTCATACTTCTTGCAAAGAAGATGTTGCAATTGAATTGGATCCTTTTTCTGCGTTAATGAACGAGTTGAAAGATTGTGCGAAAAGGTATTTCAATGAATTTAATATTTTCTAATATTTCATCGATATTGCATCATATAATTCTTGAAATGCCCTTTTTAGTAACGAGATTATTTGGGAAGTATACCACGAAAATATCGAAAAAAGTATGTTTGTTGTTGGTTTCATATCGTGTTCACTGTTAGTAGTAATATTTATACGGGATCCTTGTGATGTAATAAATAATGAATTTATTAAAGAGATTAAATTAATTTCTCGATTAGCAGGTGAGTCCCAAAAAGCGAATTAATGAAAAGAGTATTAATTTATATTTAATGCAATTTGTTTAAAAATATCTTTGTTTATTAGATGATGCGGATGCATTAATAAGTATAGTTCATAGAATGATTTTAGAAAAGTTAGACATAACAAAATTATTGGACTTATATAAAAATCGTAAGGATATTTTACCGATGTTAGATTACATTTCGGAGGAAGTAAAGTTTGCAATGGATTTTATGTTCGATTTGAAGCGCTTGAACGATCTAAATTTGATGGAAATAACTCACGATAGGTAAAAATGATTCAAACTGTATTATTTTTATGTCTGATGCAGTATATACATTTTTCTTTTATTTTAGCATATCTTTCGTATCACAAACTAAAACGGGGAGCATTGTACTGGAGATTACGATAGATATCAAACCGTTCGATAAGATTGAATCTCAAAATATCTCCGTCCATTGTCTTATAGGTTCCGTGAGGTCAGTTCTAAAAGTATATAATAGACGATGTAAGAGATGGTTTTATTATAACTTAACTGTTTTACAGAGAGAAAGATATTAAAAAGTTGATAATGAATGTAAAAAGGGATTATAAATTTCTGCGCAGATATATAAACGATGTGAAAGACTATATATATTTAATGGATGAGTCTACTGTATAACTTAAAAATTATATTAGCATATTCTCCATGAAGAATATACTAATTAAAATGCAATAATCAACCAATAGACATTATTACTAAATAATCAAGAATTAATTTTATTGTATTGTAATAATTTTACATGTGACTACGAGAATGCATAATAAAATGTTTAATATTTCTTTTACTAAAATATTGCGTAGATAACTAAATTGCATGATGAAATTATTCCAGTATATTATTCCAAGTTAAATATGCTTTTATTTAAGAATGTTTTTTAAGAATGATTCAGAACTGTTCTTTTTTCCTGTATCTGGACGTAAAAGTACAGAAACGTAAAGTTACAAGTAAAGGTCGATCAACTAGTTCTCCGATGTAGCCGGTTCAGTCGATGCAGTTTTTTGTACAAGTATTTGCGGTCCTTTCAGTAGTATCGTGTGAATAGCTGGATTTCGTAGAATTGTATTACTTTCCGCTTTACTCTTCAGAAGTAACCATTGTTGGTAATTATTGTAATAATATTATTTTTTCTTCTAACATTATAATTTTTATTAAAGTTACGCAAGAATCTTTCGAACACCTGTGACATTTTATTTCAGTTTAGCTTTTTAATTATCTTTTATTTTTAGATTCTTTGATTGAACAAAAATGACCATTTTCTAGTCTACTACCATTATACTTTTATAGTATTTATACCGGAAATTTCCGTTAATTTTATTTAAAAAAATCTTGCAATATTAAAATGTAATCGCAAATAATATGCAATGGAAAATTGGAATTCAAGAATCTCCCTTAACAGAGGCGAAGAAATTAGCGGAGCAAAGAGAAAAAAACCTTAATGGAACATGAATAACATTATACGGACTATTTAGTACTTATCTTCATAAAAAATATCATTTTTCATCTCAAGTACGTATCACATAAATATTATCTTTACAGGATTATCGTCAAGCAATCTTATATTACACTGAAACGCGTTTATTAACATTAAAAAAGATATTAACGTTGTCCGTATATAGTATCCAATTCTACTTTCCGGTTGATACATTATAAACATATGGCTCGTTAAAGAAATCGAACTTTCTTTCACCGCAACTACGCTAGTCCTACATGCGTGGGCGTAAAGGCCCGGTTTTACGTGATTTCGTAACAGCGACAGACCGATTTCCAGTATCAAAAAGCATTTCATGAAGATCCCGCAGACCTTCGGAGTCTCGTTCCCTCCTTATCCTCTCTCCGTCTTCCAGAACGCCTTGTATAAACAGACGAAGCATGGTCGCACGTGAACATCGCTTGTGAAATTGCTAGTGGTTATGCTAAACAGCTAAGAATGACAAACAAACTACTTTAAAGATGTACAATAAATCCAACGCTATAGAACATTGAATAAAGAAGATTCTAGATTTGGTAAGCCGGAATATCATATTCATAAATCTAATCATTAATATTATATTTTTTCGTCAAAATACAGTCCTCATTCCTAAGATTACGCCTTAGATGATATCTATTTGCAGATTTTTCTTTCTGTATTCCTACTTCTTCTTGAGTCTGTATCCTATTAAATCAACCCAGAGAATAAATCATAAATTGTAAAATCATAGAAGATTTCGCTTGCCGCGTGTTCTTCGAGTATGCGCGCCGGATTCGAAAATGCCGCGACACGCTGTCTTCGATTTTGCTCTGTGAATGATCTCAGTACCAGGCCCCTAGTCCGAGTACCCTGGGCAGTGGACGAGAAAGACAAGGTTGACGGGCAACGTCAAAGAAGCGGGCAACCTGTAACAGTGACGATTCGACGATACCTGTCCTGGACTATGAGAACGAGGCGGATAGGTACGGGAGCAACAGCGGCAGCGGTGCAAGTGGGCGTAAGGGCCGGGAGAGAGAACGTCGTCCCGTGTTCCATACATGGCTATGCTATGTGGAAACCGAGAGACACAGAGAAACGGACGCACCGGCGGAGTCCCCACCGTGTGGACACGGCGGAGGCGACGTTTTCTCGGCACGAGTGCCCACCGCATGTTTCGTGCACAGTGTGTGCTAGCACGACGTCGTTGTATGATCGTTCTTCTTTTTCGTTTACGACAATACGATTGATCGTTTAATTCGAGATCTCTTCGTAAGAGACGATACGGCGTAAGTAATTCGTTGGTATAATTGCAAAAGGGCTAAACGCGAAACTTCGAACCAGCCCGCATCAGAAGATGCACTCGCGAACACGTCACTGGCGTGGGTGTTGCCGTTCCTTTCGTCTATTTTGAATAAAAAAGTGGCAGACAGCGTGGTCCAGAGCAGAGACAGTTTCGAAGTTGAAGCGGGTCCGCGCCTATGCCCGAGTGACAGCTCTCTCAGTTTGGCGAGCGTGCGATTGGTCCGCCTGTGCTTACTCTCGGCGTTACGTGTGTTGCCTGCGTGCAACAGGCAACGTGGGTTGGATGCGTGAGTGCGCCTGCGTGAGTGCTACGACGTACCAGCCGCGTGTGCGTGTGCCGCGCGCGAAGAGAAGCCGCAGGGGCCGCAAAACCCGGATCAAAGGGACACATATTGCCATAGGTACGTGTATATATGTAGAAACCTCTGACAATGAATTTCGGAGATGCTTCTAATCCCTAGCATCCCTGTCCTGCGGCAAGCAATTACGTCTTTTTTACGCTTTTATTAATCCTTAGTGTATTATTTCTAGGATTTTCATTTATCCATTGATGAATTAAATTAAATTATGAATTAGTACAAATGAATTGATGTTGGAGATTAAGAAAAAAAGCGTTTCAATAATTAATGTGTATCTCTAATTAAAGCTTTAATTAGTTTTTTAATTTTATTTAATACTCTACATCTGTGGAGAGTATTCCAGTAAAGTTGATTGAATATACATAATACATCCAGCGACTATTAAATTCATTCAATTCATGGTACGTTCATTTTATTTTTGACTTGACCAAGCTGTATCCTGAAAGTTCTATAAAACTTGTGTGAAGGTTCAATTTTAAATTAGGATATCCTTAGTGATATATGTATATCTTTTAAAAGTTCATGAACGGAAGCTATAATATAAGTGAATTTATAAAGTCTTTTACGATATTCGTCGCTATATCTGTCTCCTGTTTTTCGATGATCGTTTTTAGCATCCCACGAAGACGAAAACCAGTTTCACGTCCGGACACGAACGTTGGCGAATCGTGATACGAAAGAAAGAAGGAATCGCTCAATCGATGATCATGCTTCTTCGACGTTTCTCCCGGAAAGGTCACTGTCTTGGAACATTATATGTACAGGGATACTTACATCCAGTATGTCCATCTCGGATCATTCTCCTTCTAATTTATCTTAAACTTTAACTTTTCTCGATTGTGCAACAGCTACCAACCAATGCAGTATTTTCATCGTAAAAAAAGGATACTCGTTAAAAGTGCTACAACAGCCTTGTCTCTTAATGCGCCTACATCCCACGTTTTACCTGGCAGGTTTCTATCATTTCCATTCCTTTCCTCTCTGAGTGAAGGGTTCTTTGCAGAATAGAAAATTATTATCATGATCTTTTCTGTTTAATATCATAATTTATGCTCGTTCTCTTTTAACAGTTGTTTCATCTACGAGCTTTCTGTAATTTTTTAATACGCTCGCGTGCTGCTTTCTCCGTAGCCAACAACCTGGCCCTCTTCTTACCAAGCGGCGTACGATTTTCAAATTTCGTTAATTCAGACAACGTTTTCGCTTGAGGAGGCTGATACTTCAACACTTCCTCCATAATCTCCGACACGGTTAATGGTTTGATCTTCAACGTGATCCTTCGATGAAGATTTAGGACATTTTTCACCGCGTCTCTTATAAATTCCAACGGAATGCCCACGGACATCTTAGCCATTGAGGAGACATCGATGTTGCGATCAACTCCGTGATACTTCATCAACAGATCTTTATAAAACATATACAACGTGTTGTAGTCCGTGAGAGGAATCGTTATGAACTTGTCGTGGATCTTGATGAAGGGTCTTGTTGCTTTATATGGCTCTGAGGAGGTCGTGAGAAATAGGATCTGAAAAGTATATTGCGTTCCGATGTATCGAACGGCCGGCAAAAATTCATTCAGTAGTCTTTCGAAAGCAATTAGTAAACTGCGGATTCTTATGCAAATGCATATCTCTATAACACAATTAAAAGAATAGGACAGAAAATTGTCTCATTTGTTAGATATTTCAATCTAGTATTGAACTTTGGATATTTGATATATTTTTATATATTTGTGTATTCTATGCATTTGCGCATTTTGAAATGTTCTATAAATGTATAAAAATCCGCAGTTTAGTAATCAGACTTGTGCTACGTGAAACAATAATCCCACGCAATTTTGTCTTTTTTCTTTCGTTCTAATTGCCAACATAATTATAGCGTATATCAGTTTTGTGTGGTGAAATATTCTACGCCAATGAGTAACAGTATCTATCCGGAACCACCGACACTCTAAATCCTACGTTAACTCGGTACCACCTACGTTCCGATCGTTCGGTAGGAGGTGTTTCATTGATGACCAGGTTCGAACGATCGAGACGTTTGGGAAAGAGAAAGAGGGGAACCACCTGGCCGGCATATTGAGGTGGTTCATTCATATCGGAGAAAGAGTCGAAACAGGAATATCAAGAATTTCATAAAGTGGGCGCTACCAGATCACCAACTTTAACATTCCTTGCCAGTTTAGGTGAGGCACTGTGTGTAAGCTCGTTTGGTTGCGAAACCAAAGTATTCTTTTTCTTTTTTTCTTTCTTTTTTCTCCCAGGTAACGACGGGTAAAATACGGGAAATGTATTATGACATTTGAAAAACACCTACACTCTATCGAGATAATTTTCTATTAAATTGCTTACCTGATCGCCACGCTTGATACTTTTCACCAATTTAGGGTAGTATATAGCAAATCGTTTTGGGTTCAGATATTTGTCTTCCTGAGGTACTTGTTTCAACCAAGGTCTTTCACCGTTCTCGATAAAAATCACAGAAGGGGCGTACGCTCGAGCTATACTCGAGATCATATTGATTAATTTGCGTTCATTCTTTCGTCCCGTGTACTTGTCTACCAATACCGTGGGCGACATATCGAATAGCAATGCTCCAACCTTTATTTTAAATTCATTAGCTTATTAATTCTAAAATGTTGATTTACTAATATCGATCTTGAAACGTTTTAGACTATTGAGCTAAAAATGATGGAAACCTCGGAACAGATTGCGTTCACCAGAAAGTTCTTCCCATGATGAGCGAGACCATAGATACAAACAGCTCGGATTAAAGGCGCGACTTGATGAATCTCTTTCGAACTGAGGGGAAGCACGCAATATTCCATGACTACTTGTCTAATTTCACCCATTCGATGTCTATAATCTCGTAGTTCACGAGCTGCTTCATAATTTTGATAGGAAAGATCACCTATCCAATCCTTGAGGGATGTTCTGGTATAATCTCTAATGATGTTAGCTCTGACCAACTCTTTGAAATTATCTTCCACTGTTTCATCATTCACCGGGGTCTTTTGTTTTTTGTTTTTTCTAGCTCTTCTTTCTATTTATTGATTACAATGAGAATTCGATGGTGTAGAAGAAGAATTAATTTTAAGTATGTTGGTTTTTAGCGGCAGAATTGGATGTCTTTTCCAAGTTGTTTCTTATCCTCAGTTCAGGATTACTAAAGCTATAGAGTCTACATGCCTACTGTCAAGACTATAAAAGGGTTAGTTTAATGCGTGATAATGTCTATTTTAATGAGTAGTTCTACCTTCATTAGTACCCTAGCTTATTTCCCAATATCAATTTCTTATTTGACATTATATTAAATTTAATTGAAGTAACTTACTTTTGTCAGTAGGTATATCAAGTTTCCGTTTATCAGCCGCATAGTCTTTTTTCAGTGCTGCATTTAATTTTTGCAACTCCAGTCTCATCAACTCATCGACTATTTTCCTCATTTCCAATTGAAGTTCGTAACAAAGTTCGTCCTTGATCAAATCGTGGTATATCTTCTCTCGATGATCATCCGAACGATATCGAAAGCTCCAGTTATTAATAAAGTATTGATTGGCTTCGTGAAGAAGAGAGAATGTCTTCGTTTGTGGTATCAAGGGCTGGTGTTTCTTAGGTTTAGCCTTCGTAGGTTTAGCCGGTGTCTCTTTCGCTCCTTTGGACATTTTCTCCACCAGATATTCCTGAGGTGTTAAAGTTTGTCCGGTTGCGATTAGCACGCTGCCACCTAAATTTGCAGCTGGGTACACGTAGAAATGTCCTAGTTCATCGTACCATAGTATGAACCATTCTCGAATCTCGTCAGTTATATCCTCCACCAAACCAGGACCTCTGATTTTCCATAACTTGTAATATTGAAGCAAATATCAAAATTGAAAGTATCGGGGATTGTTATTGGTGAATTTTGAGTATTAGTGTTACAATCTCTTTATCATTAATCCCCGGACGAAAGCTGGATCAGTTCTAACTCATATAAATATTTTTTATTATTAGTTTCTAAGTTACGTATTTTTATGGCATAGTGTTATTCTATCAAACATGGTTGATTTCATTTTTTAATTCTGATGTGTCCTCTGTGTCATTCTTTATTGTTAGGAAATGTCCTAAGTGTAAAGAAAATATGAAAGAACCGTGATTGATATGTGTAATTTCATACTTTAACTTTTTGCAAATGATTTTCTACGACTCTTGAAAGTCTTTCTGTATATCGAACAATATTAAGACACAAAAATTTAAGAACCGTAGTAAGATTAAACAATTTTAACTGTAGTATAAATAAAAAGCTTTTCAGAAGATCCTTCACTTTATCGCAATAAAATAAAATATTTGTCGCTCGTGATCCAATGATCCAACATTCGCTGGGTGAAGAAGTTAAAATATTAATTTAACAGAAGGTTACTCTTGCTCGCTCCTTCTCTGTCTCTTTCGTGATTCTATCAGCAAACACCGGCATTAGCGTCAATTTCTTCTGAAAATTTTGTTTATCTTTCTCAAAAACTTCTTGTGACTTCCAGCTAGGTATCGTCATACCTAACAATTCTTCCGTACGCGCGATCCGATTTCTCATCCTCTTCCTCGCTGCGTATATTCTCCAGGCTCGCTGTATGGTTTTCGCAGCATTCTCGTACGTACTTTTGTGCAATTTTTTCGACACGATCGTTCCCGCCTGTACTTTCTTACCATAATCGTACATTCGTTGCGCTACGATATTATAACACTTTTATTGAAATTATTAACCGTAAACAATGATTTATTCATAGAATCTTCACCGTCTGTTCCAACACAACGAGCCATTCTTGCTCTTTCGTGAGATTGAATGAGCAATATCGCTGCCAGCATGGTTCGTTCAGCAGCTTCTCGAGCTTCTTGAGCTTTTCGAGCCGCTATTCTTTCTGGTGATTCTTGAATAGGCGACGGTGCTGAGGTTTTTTCTTTAACTCTTCTCCTCCGCGATTTTGGCGCGTCTTCCTGATATTCGATCGTCTCCGCTTCATACTCCTCAGGAAGCACTTCGCTCTCAAGTTCTTCGGGTGCTATTTGAAATAAAATAATGTAAACGTTGCGTGCTTTTTCCTATGAAATTGTGTGGAAATTCATAGTTTTATGAATGCAACTGAAGAAACGGTATTTGGGTAGAGAAGATTTACCCTCGAAGTATTATAACAAGAAGTTTACATTAGAAATTATATATAAAGACCAAATTTTTATTGTTTCTCTGGTTTTTATATCACTTGGTGGTTAAAACGAAATTTTAATGTGAAATAGTTGAAGAAGAGAATGATGTGATTCAAGATATAAACCTTTTGAAAGTAGATGATATGTTAGTTCAACTTCTTTATTAATCTGCATAATTAGTGTTAGTAATACTTTTTAAATGTTCAAGGGTTGATAAAGACATATATTTCTGACATATACAGGGTAGTTGGTAACTGGTAGTACAAGCGGAAAGGGGGTGATTCTATGCGAAAAAAGAAGTCGAAAATGTAGAATAAACATTTTTTTTTTAATTTTTCCATCGAGACAACGATCTACAGTGAGATCCGTTATAACGTATCCCACGCGTACCGAGCGGAAATTCAAAGTCGATTTTCTCGAAAACAAAGCCTCAAACGAATAATTTGTATTGTATATTTTCGACTTCTTTTTTCGCGTAGAATCACCCCCTTTCCGCTTGTACCACCAGTTACCAACCACCCTGTATATCTTAAATCATTCGTATAAAAGACGGGAAATGTGGCGAGAAGAGTTCTTTAAATGCCTCATAAATGAATAAAAATCCACAGTATACTTATTTCATTAAAAAGTATCGTAATAAGATGGAGTAATTTTATAACTTTTGTAAGCATCTTCCATCAGTTTCTGAATACGTTCTCTACGTTGTTCCACGATGTCTTTACCAGACGCGGACACAAGAATTTCCACATCGTCCGGCGTATACTTAAATTGGTTCATAAAGTCATCAGGCCATCTGAACGGTTAGTGATAATATATACATATACATATCTTCTGTTACATATAAACGATATAAAATGAAATTACTAAACTGATAATCGTTATAGTCCAAGTTAACGATCTCTCGCTTGTATTCTAGCATTCGGCCGACCGTACAATCCAGAACCCGTTTTATCAGGTCTCGTTTCTGTGTCTGAATCATTTGATCATGACAAACTATCAGTCTCTTGACCAAATTGCGATATCTGGAAACGTACTCCATCAACCTCTGCGTTTTGCAAATAGTAAAATTACATCTGACAATTAGACCAATACCTGAGATACATTGGAAGCAGTAGATTCAATACATGTCGTCTATTTTTTGTATTTGTTTGCTGTTGCAGTCTTCGATCCAACTCTATCAACTTGTCTAAATCGTTTCGTGCGACGAGCCATAATTCAGTGTAATAAGCATGGGACATTGATTTCAGATAGTTTTACTAATAATTTTGTTACATGAATTTATTATTAGACTATTGGTTATTCATGTTGGAAGTTAGACTGTAAATTTTGAGGCGATCGAAAGATAAAGAGTTGGGTTAATTGAAACGGATGATTGTACTGGAATGACAAGACGGAAAGTTATAGGACGAAATTCAGTCGACACTCGTTGCGCCATTATTCGTGCTCATTTCTTTCCTATATAATATCATGTAAATATATTAAGTGCGTTTACCGTGGTCAGAGGGATATTGTTCTACGGTTACATGAATTTTTAGAAATAATTATATTTCAGAATGCTGTGGACGTCTCGATGTTCCCTAATCTTATTGTTAACAACGATAGCGTCTTGCATGGACGCAACGATAGATGGTTTCATGGAAGATGAAACGACCACCAACGCGATCTCTACGACCACCTCGGCACCAGTGGTCACGACCATATCTAGTTTAAATAAAGTCGAGAAGGCGATGGTTAATTCGTCAAATGCGGTAAAAAGCCAGGATGAAGAAAATATTCAAGACCCGTCCCACGCATCCTCCTCGCCTTCTTCTGACATGGTTTGGGAGTGTCCAAATATTACAAAAGCGGGCGTTGAGTGTTCTTGCGACTTACCACACACGTTGAGATGCACCGGTGATAGAACAACACTGCAGGTAATTTTTATACGCGCGAAATACTTTATTTTATATGCATATATGTGTATAATATGAGTCGATGAGTTATTTATTTAATAATAATTGCATGTATGTTTAACTAAATCACGCAAAAGTATGTAATCACGCGTAAGTATGGAAGTGCAGTTTTTTTTTTGTTAAAATTTATAGTTTTATATGCCTCGCAGTTATAATATAAAAATCTTCTTTATATCTAAGAACATCTGTTGCGGCGTGAATCAAATCCATCACAGATTTATTATTTTTCTATATTATCGAGGTCAGCTGTTTTTTAACAACCCGCCAAGCAAGCGTGGGTGTATATACTGCCAATGAAATACAAGCCGTGTGTATTGTCCAAGAAACCATTGTGTAGCCTCTCTTCTGTCTCGTACAAGTTCGTTGCTTTGCGTTGAATGTCCCGTTACTACTAGTTACCTCGACGAATATCCTGTCTTACAATACCTTCACGAATCAAATGACTCTTGTTATGCAATACAGAATGACTAATTAAATTTGTCACGAGATTAACTCATTCAATATAATTTATATCCATGTTACGAACCATAGTAGGATTATATTATACGTTCAATTAAATTAAATATTTAATTATTTAATTGGAATACTTTTTTGCGCAGATTATTAGCAAACATTTGAGATTCAGTCGCCCAGGAACGATCTCCTTATTGGATGTAACAGTGACAGGAATCTCTTTGCTACCAGCGCGCTTTCTGGAAGATGTTGCTTTGCACGGACTCGTTGTTTCTACCGGAGAATTGAGACGCGTCCATGAAAACGCTTTTATTGGTCTTGTAACACCTCTTCAAGCCCTTGGACTTCCGAACAATTTATTAGATTCTGTACCTACTACGGCTTTGTCGCATTTGGTCGGCTTAGAAAGATTGGATCTATCTCAGAATAAACTAAAGATGCTAGAAGCTGAGTCTTTTAAGGTAATTAAAATTCTTTAAAATGATATATATTTTAAATATGTATTTTAAATAATTATAAAAAAAAATACTAAATGTGAATTCTGAACTGATCAATAGAGTTGATAGAAATATGCATAAATATTTCAGGGATTGTCAAACCTGACATATTTAGATCTATGCGACAATTTATTGTCACAATTATCGCCTCAAGCTTTCGCTGCAGTACCTTTGCTACGCTCATTGAGGATGCGTGGTAATCGTTTAAGCGTATCTGCTCTCTCGGCACTCAGAGGGCTTAAAAGTTTGGAGGAACTTGATCTATCTAACAATCTATTATTGGGTCCAATGGGTCCAAATCTTCTTCCTCAAATGCCACGATTACATTTTCTTACCGTGTCCGAAAACGAACTAATAAATGTACAGCAAGGAGCCCTTGGGGGTTTAAGGAATTTAACTTATCTGAGCTTAAGCCATAATCAGGTAATTCATGTCCGTGAATATTAAATACACTAGAAAGTATATATCTTGAGGGAATGTTTCATTTTTGCATTTTATATAGATTGATGTACTGGAAGATCATTCGTTTAAATATTTGTCGACTCTTACCAGACTGGATTTAGCAAATAATCGAATCGTTGCGGTATCCAGTGCTTCTTTGGCACACTTGGAAAGACTAACAACACTGGATTTGACTCATAATTTTCTGCGATCTCTGACTGCTGACTTAGTCGTACCGCTAAAAAGTCTTCAAGATCTACGTCTCGATGATAATGATATCACAATGGTGGCCAGCGATGTACCAACGTCCAAATTACGACTCACAAAACTTTCTTTGGCCGATAATCCTTTGAATTGTGACTGTACGCTTCTAGAATTCGCCAACTGGTTAAGCAACTCTAGCTTGAACGAGGAAGATAAATCTTCGGCGGTCTGCGCAACTCCACCCGCTTTGGAAAATGGTATACTGACACAAGTCTCTCCCGGTAGTCTCCTTTGTGGAGAGCCGACACCACCAATCATGACCAGACTGCCTTTAGCTGGTGCTCAATTAACATTGAAAGAATTTCACTATGATAAATCAACTGGTATCAATCTCTTATGGCATGTAGAACCATGTGCAGAACAGTATACATGTGATAATTTAATTGTCTATGAAACCATAGGTGACAGTGAGGTTCAAACAGATTCTAGTTCTCTTCATTGCGATTCTCGTATGATGAGAGATCCCTGTTCACTCCCGGTTGCCATACCTGCCTCATTACATTTACAACCAGGCCATAAATATCGCTATTGTGTAGTACTTTTAGTACCAAATAGTTATGATGATGTTTCTTTAGGTTTGGGTTGCAGTGATGTGATTACATTAGAAGAATCTAAACGAGAGTTACAGCAAGATCAAGAAACTACCGTATCAGAGTTTTCTTCATCATTAGATACTAGAATAACTGCAGTACATGTAAACGTATCTGACCAAGGCTTCTTGCACGTCGATGTTAGTTTATCAATCTCAAAAAAGTCGAATCTGCCTGAATGCGAACTCTCTGTTATCGTTTTTGACGCTGAATCTGCGGTGCATAAACAAAAACTGAATTGCAGTTTAGCGTTTGTAACATTAGGGGTATTGTTGCCTGGTCACTATAAAGTTTGTGCAAGTCTTGATGATGTCAATGAAGAAGATGTTATTGCAAACTTTGTAGATAACCGAGATAGATTACGCTGCGTCGAAGTGCAAGGGTTCAAACAAAATACAGAGCTAATTGTTCTAGCGATAATCGGAGCTAGTTGCGTTCTTTTAATCACAATTGCAGTAATTGGTAGAAGCGTTCTGAGAAGGGTAAGACATCCTAGGATACAGACACAATGTTTCCTGCCAGCACAGGAATTTGAAATAACTCATAAAGCACATTACATTAAATTACTAGCTACAACAAAAGTTTAATTCATTTCCACCGAGTATACAATTCCGTTTCTCATTTTATAAATAATTACAGCTTATTTGTTGTTGACTATTTAAAAATGTTGAAATCGAATTTTTTTGGTTGAAATGAAGAATGTTGTATTTGATCTTATTGTATAAGATTGTTTCTATGAGCTACTAGTCATAAAATCGATAATTTTAAAGAGATTAATAAATAATAAATTGTAAGAATTTTAAGGATAAATAAAAATACAATTAAATAGATCAGAAAAGTGGAATGAACGGATGATTATAGTATAGTCTAAGAGTATTTAAAACACCCAGTTTCTACACTGCCATAATAATTTATACTAGCTAATAATATATGATCAAAAAGAAATTGTATGAAATTAACATCTTAAATAAGGAAATATGATATATAATAACACAGTTAGTTTCTTACAGTTTTCCAATGTTTTTATTACTCGATGCTTGCATACATATATGGAAATGTAAATATCTTTTGTAAGTTTCAAGGAATAAATTTATAACATTTTTGTATTGTACAGCATTGTCACTGAATGCTTTTCGTTGTAATATATTATTAATTTTAAAATATATTACATTCTGTAAATAGTTTCGTAAAATTAAAATGTGCAAAAATGATGTGTGACTTCATTGTAAAATATTACATAACTATTATTATCAATTCCGTAAAAAGTTGAGTGAATTTTGTATGAAATAAATTTTAATTTTACACGAGCCCATATTTTTACTTATATTTGCAATTGAAATTTTTTCAATTATTAACGATAGAAGTTAAAAATTCAAAACAAATTATTTATCAAAAATTATGTAATCTCAATATGATAACTTTGAATTAAAAAGTAAATCATAGTTTGTATCTTGTAACGCAAGATGACGTTTATGTTAATTTTTAACGCAATAGTGCACGTGTAACCATAGAAATCACATGATCTCTTAAATTAAAATACGTGTATATAAATTTTTCTTTTTATATTTTCAATTCCCATAATTTCTTGTTACGGTATGTATATAATTACTTGTTTAGTTACATGTTATTTCATTATAATACAATGAAAATCGTTTATTGTTTTCAGTGTCGTTATCTACTCAATATGAATAAAGACGAAAAAATTCAATTGTTACGAGATGCAATCGATATTTATCCCAATTTTCCAAAGCCTGGCATTATATATCGGTAAATAATAAAATTACATTATTTAATTAATATTATATTTTTTGATTTATTAGGGTTATATAGTTAATGTCAAATATTATCATGTGAAAAATTGCTTGTGTTCATAAAGTAATGTTATTGTACTTTGAGCTTTATTATATATTTTCAGAGATATATTTGGAGTATTTCGCAACATTGTAGCATTGAGAGCAATGAAAGATTTAATAGTGGAGCACATTTTATTTTTGGAAGTTGATTTGGTTGTAGGTTTAGATTCAAGAGGTTTTCTTTTTGGTCCAATCATATGCATGGAATTGGGAAAACCTTTTTTACCAGTTAGGAAAAAAGGAAAACTCCCAGGAAACGTTGTGCAACATACTTTTACTCTTGAATATGGACAGGTTCATATATAAAACAAAATTTGTAGAGTATTGTAATTATAGGTATATTTTACTTTAATGTTACTTTCAATATTATTTCTGGGTTTCATTTGTACAGGATACTTTTGAAATACAAACAAAACATATAAAAAAAGGTACAAGAGTACTTATCGTAGATGATTTACTAGCAACAGGAGGTAATTAATATATAATAACAAAAAAATAAATATCCTTAGTATTTTACAAGTAGAAAAGTAGGTTTTAACAATAATGTGTCCATAGGTTCTATGCTAGCTGCAATAAGTTTAATAAAATCAACTGGTGCTGAAGTGATTGAATGTTTAACAATAATTGAATTAACTGGATTAAAGGGAAGAGAAAAGCTTGGTGTACCTGTTCACTCATTTGTTCAATATGATTAATCTTTCTGAAGTAACATAAAATGCACAATTTTTTATTTAAAGGGTTTAGACAATATAAAGTGCAATATTAACATTCTCAAACCAAGCATTTAAATAAAAGAGCATTTTTATAACAACAAAACAATATTTTTGTAAAATAAGTCTATATATAGAAATGTTTTGTTATTTTGTAATTCAATTTATGAAGATATGTCATAATACTTACAAATTATAAATATTGTATAAAAATTTTAGTAAATATAAATTAGTAAATCCCAACAGAGTTTTAAATACTGTATAACATCTTTTTACATTAAAATCTTTATTTCCGCAAACATGATACAAAAGAAATATTAATTCTTTTATTATAATCTTGTAATATATAAAACATGTTAACTATTAACTACTCTTGATTTTTGAGATCTTAAAGAACTCAAAAAACTTTGTACTTCATATTCTAATTTGTTCACATCTTCTTGTAACTGAAAATAACGTTTTGTTTTGCCATTTTTCGAACATACAATATCTTTATCACTTGTAGTATCTAAATTTAAATGCAAGGTACCATGAAATTGATCACAAATACATTCACAACTAGCTTTATATGTTTCTGTTGGTCTTTGTTCTGTTCTTATTTCCCAATTCGCATCAAACAATTGTTGTTTGAAAGATTTGTGTGCCTCTAAAAGAAACAAATTTGAATTCCCACAATTTATATATTGCTGTAATGTTTCAAGAATATACAGTACCCTTTAATCTTGTTTGATTGATTTGATCCATAAAAGCTTTTGCTTCATGTTCCAGTCTATTTATTTCTGCAATTTCTATAATTTTTTGATTGCATTGACGCATAATTCTTTGTTTTTCCTTTAACTTTTCTAATTCGAGAACAGAGATTTCATCTGTTAAAAATTTGGGAAAATCATGTAACATAAATGGTGGATATGGCCCTTTGGAAGGTAATGTAATTACTTCATCCCTAGAAAACATAATATGTAATATAGTGCTTAATATAACAATACAAAAATATTGTTACAATCAAAAGAAAATTGCTTTACCTAAGGTAATGGCTAGGATGTATTCTTAACGGTAAATTATTATCAAGCTGTTGAGCAACTTTTAGTAATTCATGTGCGCCAATATGACCTTGTTTAGTAAAATATCTTTTAATACTTTCTTGTGCTTGTAATGAAGAAATAATAATTTCGCGGGAACATATACTGTATGCAACAATACTCATCAATAGAAGTGAAGGTTTTTTACAAGATATTAGATTATCCCATAAAATTAACCACTCAGGACCAGATAAGACTTCACTCATACCAGTCTTTAAAAGAGGCCATGCATATTCACTAGATGTTATTCCTCGTTCACAAAAAACGTTTAACAAGGATGGATCTGCTTGTAGAAGAATATTTTCTATTATACCTAACACATTTAATGGTGGTAAAGGATGATATTCAAACCACTTTTGACAATAATTCAATAATATAGTTAAAATGAGTTCAAAGCCAAGTAGTAGATCTTTCTGTAATAAAAATAAAGCAGTTAATTTCTCTTGATATGTCATCTGTTTCAGTATATTATGAATATATATTATATATTTTATTACCTGAAATATAATAAGAAATGGAAAAACTAAATTTGGTAAAAATGAACATTGTACTAATAAAGGACACCATTGTATTAAGCAATGAACAGTAGTCATTAATAATATATGTTTACTTCTACTTGCTAATGGATAGTTTTTTAAAATGTCTGAAGTGAAATTTATACTAGCAGCTTTATTAGCCAAGGCATTATATGAACATTTATTAGCTGGCAAATTTAGAATAGTCGACCATATTAATACTCGATATTTTCCAGGATATTCTCCATATTCTTTTAAAATAAGTATTAATCTTTCTAAACGTAATTCGTGTTTAATGCTTTGTCTAACACATTGTAAGTGATCATATATTCCATGTGCAAGTGGTCTACATGGTTCTATTAACTTTTGCAAAGATTCACATTTTTTTGAAAATAATTTCTCACTAATTATTAATTTCAGATGACCCTCCTTTTCTATATATGCTATATACCTGCCAGTGGAAGAAACTGCAATTTTTTTTATTGGTTTGGTAACTTGTAGAATATCAATGACACAAGACTGATTCAGATCAAAGAAGTAAAGATTAGAGCTTGATAAAATACATGCCATTATACTAATTGTTCCACTATCCAAAGATGGTACAAGTGATAAATATTTCACTCCAATAAAATTGTCTGGCAAATTTAAAGTTTTCATTAAATTCCAGTTACACGTATTCAGAATGATAATTTTATTTTGGGTGCTAACTATAATCATTGCTCTTCCATTTTGTGTAAAGACAAAGTCTTTAATATTTCGTATTCCAAATATCTTTGCATCGATTTTTACATTGTTTTCTAATTGATTGAAATTCCATATTTGGAAAGTATCATTGTAATAGAGCACAACAATGTGTCCTAAGTTTGAAAAACTTGTCTTTTTTATTATAAAATTTTTTGGACAAGCTCTTAACTGTTGAGCTTTATTACAGGAGTTTAGACACCATATTATAACTTCTTTATGTGAAGAAGTCAAACAATAATTTTTGTAAAAAGAAACATATACTGGGGGTACCTTATGAGCAATTAACAAGCGAAATTGAGAAACATCTGCATTTATTCTCAATATTTTTATGTCAGCTGTAGCAAGACCAACTAATATTTCAAGTTTATTTATGGGATTAAATGCCACGAATGTTGCTCGTCCGACGTTTCCTAATTTTTGATAGGAAGGACAATTATTCATTAGATCGATGTAATATAAATATCCTGCTGTATCACTTGCAATAAAATGTTCTTCAGTCCAATCAAATGCTATATGCGAAAAATTAACTTTTAATGGACATTGTATCCTTTTAATTGCTTCTGGTTCAAGTTCATAACTATTATTATCGAGTTTTTTTAAATTCTGCCATTTTTTCTTATACATTATATTAATTTTTAAACAATAGATAGTTTCATTTCAGTATCAATGATCTTTAGGTTATGTTTACGTTGAGAAATGTCAAACATGACATTATTTACATCATACCGGTTTTGCTTGTTTGAAACTTTTACTTGACAGAAAGAATTAAGAAAAAAAAAGAAAATTGGTGATAAAGCTATATAATCATATAATCATATTAAATTATTTAAAAATTATGCTTCATGCATTGGATTATTTTCTATTGTCACGTATATATTGTAGATTAACTACTAACTAAATAATAATTATAATTGCGAAATGAAATATTGCTCAATTCTAAAATATGTCTTTATAGCATATTATATAGTTTTTTAATTTTCTATTTTGCCGCTTCGAATTTATGAAATATTTTTGTTATTTCTTACGTCATTAACTGAATAGTGAGTGAAATAAGATCTAGACAGTTTGGGTTCTGTGGCTGTTTATTGAAATGATGGCAGTTGATTCTATATCAATTAAAGAATTTTAAAGATTAATTTCTCGCTAAAGAGATTATTAATACTTTGGGTAATTTATAACGTGATATGTCGGATAACTGCAAAATGGTAAGATATATTTTTTATTTTTATTTTATAGAAGTTGTTTCTCGTAGTGATCTGATTTTTAGGTTATACACAACTTGCGTTGAGGTGTTATGAAAGCAAATAATCATCTCCCACATTTCAGTTGTCAAAATAATTATTTTTTTATATATCCTCGATGTAATTCTTTTATTAGTAATAAAATTATTTTAAAATGTTTAATTTCTCGTATAATGATACATATAATAAATATAACAATAATTTGAAAATATTTCTTTTAATGAATTTTATGTTATTTAAGAGAGACAATAATTTTAGGTTAATTTATATTAAAAAATTAAATTAATAATTTTTTCTAATTCAATTTTAATCAAACTTATTTTTATTTCTAGTCTGTCGCTGAATTCTTAAAGGGTTTGCCTTCGCACAATGAAAATAATTTTGCTAATTTTCATACAGATAGTGGAAACAGAACTTGTGTAAAAAAACCTTCAGTTTATCTTCCTACAAAGGACCATCCTTCAGAACAAAGTAAGATAATTTCAGTATATATTTATGTATTTCTATGATGAATATTAAAAAATGAATGATTATAAACATAATTATTATTTTCATTTATATATACAGTTATAGTCACAGAGAAAACAACCATATTGTTAAGGTACCTTCATCAACATTGGGATAAAAATGTAAAAAATTATATATTTTTGTAAAAGTATTTTTTACAATTATATTTATATTAATTATATATATATTAATTATATTTTTCAGCATGCTGATAGAAAACGTGATATTTTATCTGCTAATGGTGACTCAGAAGATGATGCTGCTACAGTCCATAGTAAAAGGCCACGTCTTGATTTAAATCATACCATTTAAAATACACCTCAGTTATAATTTTCATTGTTTACTAAACTACATTTCCATTACCTGCTAAACTAATTTTTATTGTCTGTTAAACTATGTGATTCTTGAATGTAACAAACATATCTATAGTTCAGAAAAATTATTTCAAAACGTTGCTCTTTTAGTTTCTAAATATATAATTTGGATTAAATATCATGTGAAATATCAAAAATATAGGGAAAAACGTTTTCAAGTAATATTTCTTTAGATATGTAAAGTCATAATTTTATGTGATCATTTCGTACTACTTTATATTCTTGAAATTCGATTGGAAAAATTTGTATTAGCACATTAAATAATGTTCTACATTGCACAATATGTATAAATAAATATGTTCATTATTACTGGTAAAACGTAAAACTGTAATTAATGCAACATATGTACATTACAATTCAGGAAATTACTAAAATTTCTTTAATTGAGGTCGTAATGGACCATTTATCTCGAAATAATTTTATAAATTTGTGCTACAAATGCTCATTTTAAATATGTATTGCATATTTAGTGGTATAAGTTCTCAATATATATCTAATTTAAGAAAAATATATGTGATGTTTTATTTTATAAATGTCAGGTTATTTTGTTAAATTTTTTTCTTGTAATATTATGTCAAGATGTAGACAAGAGTTTAACTAAATAAAAACCTTGGTAATAAGTATACGATTAGGAAAGTATGGCAATAAATTTTCGTTTTCGAAAAATAAGCAGTATTTTATGTAGATTTTATATTTTTATACTGTATAAAGTACAATTAAAAAATAATTTTTTTAGAAACAGGCAAGTTTTACTTTTCAATGTCATTTTATTTACAAAATTTCTGTCATTTGATTTTATTTTAAATTTAAAATCTTTTTAAATCTAATGTATAATTCTTAGATTGGTATCTCTGGTGACAGAATAAATTTCCTCTCTGAAATTAAACACGGTTGTAAAGTAAATATACGATCAAGTCTGTAAATAATACAATACCTCGTAATACTATATCTTGATTATTGTCTTTTTATTTTTATTATATGTTCTTATATTATTTTATTTTAAATTTATGTAATAATTCAGCTTTTTTCTTCTTTATTTTTTAAAGAATGTATAAAAAACACGTTGTATAAATGCATCGTGAATCTGCATTTAACGATGGTTACGCCTATGATTTGTGATAGGTTAAAGTGTTTATGTTGATTTGTTAATACTAAAAGAATATTTTGCTATGCCACTTATCATTATTACTGGTATACCGTGTAGTAGTAAAACAACACGAACTTTCGAATTAAAGGAATATTTTATGAACAAAGGAAAAAATGTAAAAGTTATAAGTGAAATTGATGTTGTTACTAAAAGAGGTTTCGATCGAAATAAATTTTATGCTGGTTAGATACTACTTTATTTTAGTTTTATTATTAGCGAAGAACATTCAGATTTATTTTGATTTTACTATTTGCTGTAGATTCTAAAAACGAAAAAAGTGTGAGAAGTGACATAAAATCAGCAGCTCAGCGAATGTTAAATACAAATGATATATTAATTATTGACGGTAGTAATTATATCAAAGGATATCGTTATGAGATATATTGTATGACAAAACTATACAAAACTCCTCAGTGTACAATATTTTGTGATATACCAGTTGAGCATGCTTGGTTGTGGAATGAGAAAAGACCAACATATGAACAATATAACAGAGAAATTTTCGATGCACTTGTAATGAGGTAATCAAAAGTATCATGGATTAAATGTGACACTTTTTTAATGAAATAAAGTCAGAGATTTATAATATAATTCATAGATATGAAACACCAGACAATAAAAACCGTTGGGATACACCATTATTTGCTGTATCAGCAGAAGATGATTTAAAATTTGATGAAATTTATAAATCGTTGTATGAAGTAAAAGCACCAAAACCAAATTTAAGTACACAATGTGTTAGTATTGTCATATATATGACTTAAAATTTAAATTGATTAATATAATTTTTAATTTGATTATATCATATTTCAGCCACCATTATCATCTACTAATTATTTATATGAATTGGATACTGTAACTCAAGAAGTAGCTAATGTAAGTTGCTTAAAAATTGTTACTTATTAGCCAAGTATAATAAAATTTGTAGTAAATATTATAAGAGATGTTAAACATCATAAACAACATTATTATGACAAATCATAAATATGTATTTTCTATTTTGGCAAAGGCAATATTATCAGCTAAGCAACTGGGTATTGAAAGTGGATTTAAGATACCAGGATATAATTTAACAGTACAGAATCCATGTACTGCAGCACAGCTTATGAGGCTACGAAGACAATTTTTAACTTATAGTAAAATGCAACAAATTGAAATTAACCAAATTGCATTATTATTTGTACAATATCTTAATAAAAGTTTGTAAATAGAAAAGGTATTGATATATTTAATCATTAATCATTTTTTATGAGGCAATAAAAATCTGTTAATTAAATTTTCAGAAATGTACTCTTTTAATAAAAAATTACATTAGAGAATACATCATTAGGCCTATTTTATTTTATAGTAATTTTGGCCTGCATGTATTTTGCATTTTAAGATAAACTTTGGTTGCACAATATTACTGACTGTTTGGTTTGTAATAACATAATATCAAGTACATTATAAACAATTTTGAAACAGATATTGACATTTGTGCGACTTGAATATTATATATCTTTGAAAAAATTGATAAAATAATGAATACTACAATAAGAAATACCAGAATTGTGAAATTGCACTCTCTTTAAGATATTAATATAACTGACAGAATTAGACAAGGCAACATTGGTTTGTAAGAGAAATTTGACAAATAAAATGAAATTTGCCTTCAAACCGGTTGGAAAAAATATTGCGTAGTACGTACATGCAACCAAATCGAGTTTCTTTTATTTCATATTATGACGCTATTTAGTAAATATCTCAAACAATAAACATTAATGATATGCTAAATCACAAATATTGAACTCAAAAGAAAAATTGCAAAACTGTTATTAGTACTAAAGAAGAGTCTCTTTGATCTTGTATCAACTTTTGTCGATATTTAAAACAATAACTGCATAATTTTATTATTCAATTTGCTAACAATAGAGCTGTCATGTTTGGCAGTTACTTACAGTGAAATGAAATTCTCGATAAAAAAATATTAGTTCAACTTTTAACAATATTTAAAGATTTTTGTTACTTTTTCTAGACTTAAATTACCTAATATTGACTTGTTTCATAAAGTATAACAGCTTTGCTTTTGTAGTAATGAACCTATTATATAATGCATTTACAATTACATCAATTTTTCTTACAAGTGAAACACAGGAAGTCGTCAATAGTTAGTTTTCTTGTTCTTGCATACCATTACTTTCAGTACCATTTCTATAATTCACATTATTATCTATGTGTCTTTTGGGTTTCCGACAAACAAAATATACACTATTATATTCACATTGCAACATACTGTTAACGTTTTGTGCATATCGCGTTTTTACGCGCGTTTCTTCCTTCTAAAAATATTCTAAGTTGTAAAATTCGATTAAGTTTTTAGTATTACATAACAGTCAATGTCCTTTTATGAAGTTAATTACCTCTAATTGGAATCCAAATCCGTGAATCACATCGCGAACTACATCGTAACTTGGTTCTATAGAATCTTCCATTGGCATATCACTAAAATGATACAATAGTGGACCAAGATTTATCCATATACCTCCTGGCTTTAAAATTTTATAAATAGTTTCAATAAATTGTACAACATTATTTGCGCAATCTATAAAAAAACACGTGGCTACACAATCCCAGTGATTGTCTTCTGTATAAACCTGAAGTACAAAAATAGAAATTTTTAAGATATTTATTTATTTTTTAATATGTCCTGATATTTACCTCCAGAAAGTCCCCAGCTGCCATGGAGAATTGCGCATTTTCTGGAAGATCACTAGGATTTACATCTGGGAAGAACACAGCTTGAGTTTGATGTTCTGGTTTTAAATTATTCATATATTGATGTACCCATGGATGTACTTGATATGAATTTACTCCTCTACATCTATAAAGTATTAAATATGAATAGTAAAAGTCATCTTAAAAGGAATACTGTTTGCTAAAAATATTTAACTTTTACCTACTTATTTAATACAAAATGAGAAGCAAAGAGCATAAAAAGGGAAAATTCATTTCCTTGGCAAGTATATCCACGTCTCGCAATTTCATATGCTAGTCTTCCCAAACCTGCTCCAGGTACTAGAATTTGCACGTCTGATGGTGTACTGGAAATTTACCTATCATTTCATACTTTTCTGAACTATGTTCTACTACACCACTGTAGCTAGATTCTAGATGTCTGAATATATTTTGATGGAACATTTTATTTGTGTAATGTGTTCAGAAATTTTGAAGGGGTCATACCAATAATCTGCAGGAAATTGATTCATAATTTCATCTATAATAGGCTGATAACACGCCATTCGTTCTTCGGTACCTTCCACGCTCCAATCACGAACCAGTTGTTTAATGGTTGCTTGAACCTTTTCTTGATCAGCCATTACTGGACGAGGATTTAATGTCTGCAATTAGACCTACCTATATTTTGTACAATAGAATATACTTTTATAAAAAAAGAAGCTTGTTAAAATGATAAAAAAAATCCAAGCTTGAATGAGAGAAATAGGTAAAATATTTCTTCCTAGGCAATTAGTGTTATAGTAACAAAACTTTATATATAAGACATAGAGAGTTTTCTTCAAGAGTGTTAATGGTTAAATTAACTTCAACAGTTAATGAGAAGCTATATTGGTATAGTTTTAAGATTTCTATTTTGAATAAGATAAAATAAAATAAAATATCATGTGACAGCATGAACACAATTGTGTTTATGTTTAATAAGGTTAATAGAATTAATTAGTCACAATTTTAAAAACATATCATATTATACAACAGAATATACATGCCACACACCAGGTGAACTTTTCTTACACTGTCAGTCTGTGCAGTAGCTGGGCTCACATTTTCAAAAATATGTGCTACATCCTTTATGATAAGCTTAATTATCTCATCATTATTTTCAATACATCTTTTAACTTCTTGCAGATGTTCTCTATATTTTGACAAAAGCCTCTGATGATGAGCTGGAAGTGATAGCAAATATGATTCTGTTTTCTTAACCCTTAATAGTGAATGATTTCTGTAAAAAGAAAATTTTGATATAAGTAATATTTATAATATTATTACATTTGTAAGTTTAAGCTTCATGCTTTACACAATTATGAATTTATAGTTATACAATCATGAATATTAAACTAATTTAAGTAGGACAGCAATTGAAAAACATAGCCATATCATAATTGAAAACCTATACATTTTTCTTGCTAAATACTCAAATTATGATACTTTTACTTTTAAAAACTATATTACAGCAATGTAATGTAAAAAATTATTCCTATAATTGTAGGATAACTATGAAAACTGCAAATAAAATATAACTCAATGCCATATCGTTGGAGGTTAAGCAGTGATATTAAGAAGTTTTGACGATAATCGAAAAATTTTGGACGATATCTTATAAAGTTATCCGGAGTACTATGTTCGATGAAAAAAGCAAAAGAACAAGAGCAATAAAGATAAGAACGAAACATCGATTCGAAGATTAGAGTCAATCAAACAAAACGATTTTTCATGATATACTTACTTGTAATATTTAAAAGCTGAGACGATACGTTGAAAGTGTTTTCTCTCTTCTTCATCCTCGTAAGTGTCGTGCATTTTTTTTGGATAAGGATTCGACATTGTTTCCATTTTTATATTCGAACGTGGAGCTTAGTATTTTAATGAGTTTTTTAGCACGACGTTCAGTGGCGGCTTTCTTGGTGCACGCGTTATGACGCGTTCTTATTACTACGATAAATTATTCTTTAAGGCTGAATCGTCAGCAGATTTGAATTTATTAACAAATACGCGTTGAGATAAATATCATTTCATTTCTTTTAATATGTCAAGAATATATTTTATACGTAAAGGAATAACATTGTTCGGTTACTTGTGATATCAAGCTTTTTGTAATTTTAATCACAAATACAAAAAAATACAAAATACTTGTAATAATTAAAATATGTATATGTATGTATAAGCTCTAGTATAACCTAATATAATTTATATAAAAACTCACATTTGTCTCTTAATAAGAGAAAATATTTTATGTTTGAACAGAAAAAGACAAAATAAGATTTTGTCGACGTCATTTCTTAATTTTACACTACAATAGGTTATATGGTATAATTTTTCTATATGATTCATTACAATTAGCAAGAAATATATTACTTAAAAAAGTGAAAAAAAACAGTAAGAGTAACAATCATCGTTTAATTCCTTATGATACAATGATCTGTAATCTACACGATAATTAAAGCTACTTCAGAAATTCAAATTTTGTTAAGAGTCAAATAAAATTTGATTAATACTTGTTCTAATAATTTGGCATTATTGTAACGCAGGAAATCCATAAAATTTCTCGTTTACCACAATTGGAAACTGTGCCAAGGCACAACTTGCATATCCGCAGAGTTTCTATAGCTGTTGCAAGTTGCAGGTAGCACTCTGTCGTCCACGCCATTTTTAAAAGGAGCTCAGTCGCTAATCAACCGCGGTAGGGTACACTTGGAACCTCTCCGCGAATATTGTATCGAGCTTGCGACTTTTTTCCGCGTTTAGTGTTGCCGTATCAGGCATTTCGCAATGACAGCAGTGTAAGGAGTTTGTTTTAAACTCTTCGTTGAGTGTATAAACGGGGGTGTTTATTAGAAATATTCAATAGGAAGCACCAGCACGAGAAACATGTCTAGTGCACCACAAATGTCCAGTGGGCTTAGCAAGCTCAAAAAGAAACATTTTCGAGTTAAACATCAAAAGGTTAAGCTGTTCCGTGCAAACGAACCTCTTCTTAGTGTTTTTATGTGGGGTGTCAATCACACGGTGAGTATTAACATAACTGCGTGACAGCGTCGTACGTCATCGAAATGCCATTTTCTTCTTTCACTCTCTTCAAGCTGGATAGAATCGGAAATTTATGAAAAACGCTGCGTTATTCTACGTCACGTTTTACATTAATGTAATTTTCTCCTATAATATTCTTGGAAGTTAAGAAAATATGTATTTGAAACGCGTGCTGCGCTATTTTTCTATTGTACTATATATTTGCAAAGTGTTGTCGGGTTTTATATTTGCGATTATAAGATTTTATGAAATCTTTTTATTAGTAATCAGGAGTAATGAAGGATTTATATCACTATAGTAAATTTTTTGACACAACATTGTAATTTTATCTAAATTTAAAATCATGTTATGTTTCCTATAGTTACCGCATGTTTATTTGTATATGAAATAAAAATTCAGTTTATTAAGAAGTATTATACATTTGAAAAAGCTGAAGTTTAAAAAATTACTTAATTATATAATTGAATTAGTTTTGTTTCCATTTTAATATGTAGTTCTTTTAGCTCAATAAATAGTAGTATAAATGTGCAATTATAATTGTTTCCATATATACAATTATACAATATATACAATTATTTCCATATTCACATTTGTGGATGATGACATCTATGTACACAAATATATAATCCCAATATGTAAAAATTATGTGATAAATTTGTACAATAAATATATAAATACATGTCTTGATGTAATTTGTATTTTTTGTATATAATCTTTTATAGTAACTTTTGCAGTAGTATTCATAATAACAACTTACTTAGGAAATTATGTTTACATAAATGTTACATGTAACATACACGTATTACAGATAAATGAGCTTAGTCATGTTAATATACCAGTAGTGCTCCTGCCAGACGATTTCAGAGCTTATAGCAAGTTAAAAGTGGATAACCATCTTTTTAACAAGTAAGTTGTATTACATTATATGCCAAAATATGTGTTAATTCAATATTAAAGGAAATGACAAACGTTAAAGGAAAAATTTTGAACTTAAACGTAGTTAATAGTGAGTTGAGTCATAAGGGTAATGCTCTGTTTGATATTAGGAAGAATTTATTAATGTAAATGTAAAGCAAGTAACTCTCTGAGGTGGCCTATTCTAAATATATCGCTAAATACTGAATTGCTAGGTTGGTCACTGCTTTTAATAATAGAATGAATGAAGGTCCTCCTGATCTGAAATTATAGTTAATGATAAAGATATTCATAGCTTTACTCCTTAACTTAAAAAATGTTTGTATTACTAGTAGATATATATATGAAATCTGTATGTTATATATGTTAAAAATTTATACCTTCCAAGCAGAAAGTTACTCATATATTCAACTTTTTGTTTTAGGGAAAATATGCCCTCGCACTTTAAGTTTAAAGAATACTGTCCGTTGGTATTCAGAAATTTACGGGAAAGATTTGGTATAGATGATTTGGACTATAAGGAATCAATGACAAGGTAAAAGATAATTTATTTTGTAAATCATATTTCTCAAATACATTAAGTTCATTTCAGAAAATAATTGAAAAATATTATTAAAGTGATTATAATATGCAGTACTTGTTTAATATGTACTATATGAATAAGAAGTAAAGCATAATTTTTTTTTTTTAATTTTAATCTTAGTTTATTGCACTGCATGTCAAAGATATGTTTTATTCTGTGACTGCTTTCTGCATATGTTATTATAACTGTAATACACATATAAAGTATCTGTATGTATTATTATAACTTGGTAAATATTTCTTTACTTATTTTCCTATACAGCACATTCACTTATTTATAGAGTATTGCAGATTTAGGGGCTTTACTTGATACAACCTTGAAGGAAGATAATCCACCCAATGACTCATACGCAAATCATTACAATTAAAAGTTTTATCGTGATATTTGAAATTAATTTTGTATTGAAATATCATAAGAAACATATTTTGTTACAATATTACATTTTGTAGAAATAATTATATCATTTTGAGATACATCTATCATATTATATCAAATATAAATTTAAAGAAATAAGGAAAAGAAATATTTTTAATTTCAGCATAAATTCAACTATAACGAAAAAGAAAGAGAATGCATTAACAGGCAACATAATGTTATTGTTACTAACATATTTCAGTATATAAAATTTAGTGTACTATATTGCAATTACATAAATGTATATAACTATACATGGAAACAATAAATTTCCTTCATTTCTTTACAAACAGAAAGTATTACTTTTCATTTAAATGTAATACATAAGGATTGTTGATAGTAAATTGTAATACAAGAATTTTGATACTAGATGTCGGGCATTTAATCCTTCCCTATCAGAGAGGCATTGGAATTTGGCTAGGAATGGGAAGACTCATAAATTGGTTCAGCATTGTGCTACTGCTCCTTCAATAACTTTTTCTCCTTCTCCTGTTCTTTCGCAAATTCCAGTCCTAAATAAACCACTACGTTCCTACAGTTTTAAACCAAAGCGTCTGAGGTTAGCCAGACTTGATTTTTCACTTTGTGCGTGTTGCTTGTGGCTAACACGTTTTTATGAGACTTTCATTAAATATAAGAAATCAGCTCAAAGGAACACAGTTGATTGTACACAATTCTTTTCTAGTATTATATTACCGTACTTAGACTATATGTTCGTAATTAAATGTTTGTAGAGCATTAGAAGAATTAGAGTTAGTGTTAAAGCATGAATTTATCTTCATTTAGTTTAGTTTATGTATTTATTGGATATATTATATTTATGTATATATTGATCATTTTAGTTGTAATAGTATAGTATGTGAATAACAGTATCATTATTGGTTAGTTATTATGCTTAATAACCATTGTTTTTTTTTAAATGCATGCTAATATATGTGGTAGAGGTATACTAATAGTGTTTCAGAAATTCAGAAAAAGAAAAACGTTTTTATTGCTGGAAATAAATAATTTATTATACCATAGTGCTAAACTAATATTAATATTGTTTTTATCATTTCCAGATCACAACCAATATTAGAGGACTCATCTGGAAAAAGTGGTGCAAAATTTTACCAGTCTTATGATAAACTGTTTATTATCAAAACCCTCACAAAGGAAGAGGTAGAAAGAATGTATTCGTTTCTAAAACACTATCATCCAGTATGTAGAACTGTTATTTATACATGTAAACTATTATATATATTTGCTGTTTTTTAAATAAAACTAACAATTTTCCTTCTGTATATATTAGTATATTGTAGAAAGGCACGGAAAAACTTTGTTACCCCAATATCTTGGCATGTATCGTTTGACAGTAGATGGAGTTGAACATTATGTCGTTGCCATAAGAAATGTATTTTCAAATCATTTAACTACTCATAAAAAATTCGATCTGAAAGGCTCGACAGTAGATCGTGAAGCATCTGACAAAGAAAAGGAAAAAGATTTGCCTACTTATAAAGATAATGATTTTGTTAAAGAGGGAACGAAAATTTATATCGGCGAAGAGGCAAAAGCTAAACTTATAGAGACGTTAACCGCTGATGTCGACGTGAGTTTCATTTCTTATTTATTGTATTTATGTAATTGTACATTTTATATTTATTGACAAATTGATTATTATAGTTTTTAACAAAATTGCATTTGATGGATTATTCTCTATTACTTGGACTGCACGATTGTGCGCGGGCCGAACAAGAAAACAGAGAACGTGCAGAAAGAGAGGAGGAAGAAGATAATCATGAAGAAGAGGATGATAGTGAATCTGGAAGTGGGCTTGATTCACGAGGCCCAATGGGAGAGTATGCATTTTTACGATGTAGTGAAATATTTCATAGAATTTTACTTTCGAAATTTGTAACGTAACATTTTTATTAGCCGTCTATGGAGTTGGAGCGGTGTTGCAGGTATGGCAACGCCTCCTGAATCACCACATGCCACGTTGTTGCGCGACACGAGTTTACAATATGAAGATGCCATAATTCCTGAATTAGATATTTATGCGATTCCTAGTAAAGAAGGTAATATTGCTTACAATTAACACATAAATATTTAAATTAACATCCAAATTTTGTTTTATTTCAGGTGCACCTACAAAGGAAATTTATTTTTTAGCCATAATAGATGTGCTAACTCATTATGGTGTGCGTAAGCAGGCAGCAAAGGCAGCTAAAACAGTGAAGTATGGTGCTAATGTCGATGGTATATCCACCTGTGATCCGGAACAATACGGCAAGCGATTTATAGAGTTCATGAGCAAAGCTATAGAATAAGCTCGTTGTTCGTTGTTGTTAAGCTTGTAAATTTGGACCGCTTGTTCGAAAGTCGTGATGACACTATCGTTTTTTACTGCGTTTATGTTAAGTGCGTCGAACATTCGTTCCTCGCACTTTGATGTTTGACCATAAAGATCTTTATTTGGTATGTACTGTTATTTGGTCAGTACCGTTGATTACATATTTCAGTATTCCTTATAACATTTACAATGGAGTTAGAAGCATAACGCAATTTCGTGGATTATAAACTCTTAGAAGATCTATCAACAAATTTTTTCCAGGGAATATTTTAGTAGTTTTTATAACCAGTGACATATTTTCTCAGTATTTAATTACAATTTTTCTATAAAGACAATTGTCAAATACTGTAGTTTTCTTGTGTTCTTTATTTTTCTTTCATTTTATGTATATTTTCAAAACGTGAGACTTACATTAGTTTTTCGTACATTATGTGTACAATCAGGAACACATAAAAATTCTGTTAGAAAAGTTTATTGTAGATTATTTTTATTTTGTGAGGTGATACTCAATATTATACTCAAAGAAATAGTTTTTACACATACTTGTTTAATGTCTATTATTTCGTTGTATGAATTATTGATATATAAATAATGCTAACAGAAGTGTGTATTGTATATTGTTTTTGGTACACATAATGTGCTATAAAAGCTGCGTTAATTACCGTCATTTGACAGTAAATGATATGTAATATTAGTTTATTGGAAAATATTAAAATTAATGTTGATGTTACATATGATAATCAGAATTATAGGGACACGATTAAGTGTTTCACGAAGGAAGCCTACATTTATCGTAAAGAGTCTCTCAATTTCGTCAAGACGAATTATAATGCTTCTGATCTAGTGTCTGTGGTGTTGTCTGGAATGTTTAAATATTCGAGGTATAACGTAATGGCTTCTACAGCGAGAACTTTCGTTTTTGGTAGGTCTAAAAAAAAGAGGAGAGAAGTAATATATTATATGCGCAGAAGGTACTATAGTGTAAGAGCTTGAAACTTTAAAAAAATTATTAGTAAATGTTAAAGTCTGTAAATGTCACCTCTTTGATCATTTCAGTTACCGCGAATTGGTGTTAAGACCATCGATTCGTTTAGTTTGTGAAGTTACATTTACAGGGAACAAGAAGAACTGTACGTATTATGCGCGATATATGTCTCCTTTAATTTGTAAAGTGCTCAAACTTAGCCGATGATTCCATTAGAGAAATTAAGTAAAGTATGAAATATGTTTTTTTGGCGCATTGCGAATGGAATGCTAATTTATAATATTTATAAAGAAAACTATTTAATCAAAGTATGTTTGTTTTATTTCCTCTTTTATGTAAAAATTATCTAGAATCAATTTGTTGAAAATGTGTTCAGTTTTGAACAGCATATGAAGTGATATGTTCCTTTGTAGCATTCGATTCATAATGCGTCAAGCTTCGGCGTAATTAGTAGCACAAGATCTCGCTTAATAATTTTAATGCAAGATAATTTAATGCAGCTTCATTTTTTTATTCGATAAACTTTATATTAAAAAATTGCTTGTTATTAATTATATTTTAAGACCGTATATCATTACATCATGCAAAAACAAAAAGGAGAATGTATCGTTGCATGATACTCTACCTTTAAATAATCTATTGTAATAATCAATTTTTTATAATTTGTTAAAACTGATCATAATATAACGACTAATTACTTTACTAATTAAGGTATTCATCTAGTCTTGATACTTTATATGATTTTATACATTGCCAGTACATTGGAAAAACCACAAAAGTAAATGAAAATGCATATTGCCAACAAAGGTGTATTATAAAAAAACAGTTATTACAGTTATAAAAAGACGCTCAATTTCTGTAATGTTATAGATTCTGTAAGAGAAAATATAAATTGTTTTGTCAACTACGATTTTCTGTTACATAGTAACAAATCTTTCAAACGTATATTTCTTTTTTTCTATTATTATATATTCATTGACTTACAAATCTCGAAAGAGTTTAAAGTTTATATGCAACAACTTTAGTCTATTATAGACTTTGAAACATATAGATTTATAAACGGTTTGCTTAATTAAATTGCAAGAAAGATTTTGTTTATTTTTCAATTTAGATTTTCGCAATTCGCACCATGTAGAAACGATGTATATATTCACTATTTTACTGTTGGCAGTATATATCCAGGCTTCTGTTATCCTAACATTTGTATTATTCACAGAGTCTGTATTGTATAAGCCACGGGAAATAAATGGACATTTAACACAATAAGGAATTATAAATAAAAAAATATTAGGAAAGAGAATGTTGAATTTTATTTTATAATACGCTCTAGATAATAAAAGATATTGGTTGTAATAATATGATTACATAGTTTAAACTAAAAACAATTATTTTTTATGTATAAAGTAAATTACTAACGAATGATACATATTTTATCATCCAATGAAACAAAAATATACTAGGTAATTATATACTTAAAATTAATTTGTACTTTAGTTATTGCATCTAAAATTGAAGAAAATTTAATTTCTTCGCGTCTTTGGTTTTTATATATGCTTTGTATATATTTAACCTTTTTGTTATGGGGTCTATCATGTTTCAAGATTAAACCAATAACACGTCAAGAACTTCCTTAATAAACTATATACGGAGTTTCTTTGAGTTATTTTGTTCTGAACCACAGTAATCTTTTTGAGAAGTGAAATTCTCTCCTGGGCTCAAATAACCGCTGCGTTTCCTTCTTGCAATAGGTGAAACTTGTTTTAAATGCTCCATATCATTAAATACTACTTGTGCACCTCCTCCACTAGTTGGTAATATGTCTCCCTATCATCCAAGAATTGTATCATTATTCTATCTAAATATATCTATATTTTGAAAACATTAATAATACAAACTTTGTATAATTTAGTTTCAAGTTCACCATCTGTGTCTTGTTCTTGAGCAACAAGACAGTATCTGGATGCTTTATTTGTTATATCTTTCGGATCTGTCAGTTGCTTGACGCTTATTCGTTTATTTCGAATTACTGGTTGAAGGATAGTACCAACCGGAACTAATCCAGGAGGTCGATGATCAAGCCATCTATCTGCACTTTGTGACCGTCTATAGCGCGGATTCACTACTGGAATTCTATCCTACAAATGATTAAAGGTAATATAATTTTATTTTTAATATATAACTTAAAATCATAACAATTATTATATTTACTTTTCTACTTGGTCGGGTATCATTGCAATCTTCAAATTTAGTCGTAGAAACAGTTTTTGTAGTAGTTTTTGGTGTAGTTGTAATAAGTATAGATTCCGAGACAGTGTTTGGAACAGTTGTAGTAATTTTCGATGTTATCGGCATTTCAACATCGTTCTGTACTTGAATTGTTTCCTTGGATTCTGGTCTATCATTTTTAGTCATCTCATCATCGCTTATTAATATTTGTTTCACTAATTTCAGCTTATCTTCCTTTTCTTTCATTTGATTCTAAAGAAATGAGAGATTTAGATAAATTAGTAATTATACAGGGTGATTCTACGCGAAAAAAGAAGTCGAAAATATAGAATAAAAAAAATTTTTTTTTTTTTTTAATTTTTTCATCGAGACAAGGATCTACAGTGAGATCCGTTATAACGTACGATTTTCTCGAAAACAAAGCCTCAAACGAAAAATTTTTATTCTATATTTTCGACTTCTTTTTTCGCGTAGAATCACCCTGTATAATTACTAATTTATCTAAATCTCTCATTTCTTTAGAATCAAATGAAAGAAAAGGAAGATAAGCTGAAATTAGTGAAACAAATATTAATAAGCGATGATGAGATGACTAAAAATGATAGACCAGAATCCAAGGAAACAATTCAAGTACAGAACGATGTTGAAATGCCGATAACATCGAAAATTACTACAACTGTTCCAAACACTGTCTCGGAATCTATACTTATTACAACTACACCAAAAACTACTACAAAAACTGTTTCTACGACTAAATTTGAAGATTGCAATGATACCCGACCAAGTAGAAAAGTAAATATAATAATTGTTATGTATGTACAATTAATACAATATACCTGAAGAAGTTCACGTTGCCGACGAAGTTTGCTTTCCAGTTCTTTACTCATTTTATCAGTTTCTGCTTGAATTTTACTATTATATTTTTCTTTTACCCTCTGCTTATCTATTGCACGTTGATTCAGTAACATACTCTTGTTCTGTAACTGCAAAGGTTTTGTTTGATTGTTAGAAGAATGTTTTATTTGACAAAAAGAAATGTAGATAGATTAATATAAAATAAAGAGTTACATCTTGTTTCATATGCCTGATTATATCGTTTGCATTATTTAATCTGGATAGTAGAGTATCAATTTGAGCTTCTGTTTTACAAATATGAGCTTCCAAAGCAGAGATCTGAAAGAATTGTATGCTGAAGATTTAACTGTTATAATTATTGCTATAAAGACTTACCTTCTTTTGCCGTTGATCATTTGATGCTTTCAATGTAGAGTTTTCAATTTTTAAAGATACATTTTCCCGTTCGATTTTTACTATCATGTTTCTAAAATTCGTTTCTAAAAAATGAACAAATTTGATATAAATTTTCGGAAAATATGTTTTTCAATCAATACGTTAAAAAATTACGTTTCTGTTTCAGGTCTTCTTGTAAAATATTCCGCTTCTGAATACGCAATTCTAAGAAACGTATAAGTGTAGTAATTATTTCGTCATTATGTGGACTTGTTATTTCCATTTCTGGGAATGACCCTCCAAGACTGGAAAAAAATGTATCACATAACAAAATTTTTATTATTAATAGAGTTTGATTTAGTCATTAATTTAATAATTTACCTGTATACTAAACCCAAATCAATTTCCAAATCAGCAGCAGCTGGATTACCAGCATTCTCTAATCTGTTTCTTGCTTCTTTAAATATCTATCAAAAAGTAATGTCAATAACTAAATATGTACAAAAATTATTTTAATATATTAATATATATATGTATTTTTTCCTTACTTTATTAGCTTGTCTTCTACCAGGTATGTATCCTAAATCTAATTTTGAAGTTGTGGAATTTGTAATTTGTACTTCTTGACTAACTTCAGCAAACTTTAAGACTTGCTATATAGAAAAAGAAAAATTTTATTATATCGAATTTATATTCCAAACATTACTTGCCTCCAAAACATAAATACTTACGATAGTTTCATCATAATCGTTAGTACTAGGATTCACACAAGTGATCATTCTAACATTTCCCTCGCCATCAAAGTAATTCTTAAACAACTGTGTTATTTTAGAATCTCTATAAGGGACTATTTTATTTGTACCTTGAGTTTGATTTTCACGTAGTATTTCCAAGCAAGTGCGTAGTGTCATTAACGAATTATTTATATTTCCTATTTTAACAAATATAAGTCACATAAACATAAAAGAGCAATGATATATTTTGATAAATTACCTGCTTCTCTAAGTCTTTGTCCAGTGTTTTTTGAACGATTTGTACGCTCACTTCCTGCCAAATCTACTAAAGACAATTGGCTAACACAAATCACTCGTTTATTTTGAACAATTTGTTCACCTTCCTTATCTAATGGTGCCTGGTAAGATATTAACATTGTAGGTATAATACAGTTATACAGTATAATTAGATTACTTTACCTGGACAAGTCTTATAGTAAAAACACTGTGAGATCTGCTTGATTCTGTATTAAGATTAGTATGTGCAATATGTCTTTTACATTGCCCACGTTGGAATATTTCAAATGCTTCTTCCGAACTCTTTACTTCTACTTCTGTACATCCATGAACATACATATTTCTATTTCCATCTTCACGAATAATTTTATTTTGCAAAGTTCTAAATTGTTTCAGAATTTTTTTTTTAATAAATTCCATAAAATATCGACTACATTTTTAAAATGTATACTCACTTAGTTTTTCCATCATTTTCTTCCAATAAATCATATACACTATTATTATAGACTTCTATGTACGTTACAAAAACTGAGTATGCATTATCTTCATCAACATCTAATATTTCTGATTCATTACTTAAATTTAAGACATTTTCATTGTTATCGTTATTACCATCTCCTTTAAATCTTTGAATAATATATAAAACATTAAAATTTTACATAAACATGGTAGAAAATACCTAATCTCAAAAAATTTAAAAAAAAACCTTACTGTCTAAAAGCTTTTCCATTGTAAGAAGCAACAAGTTTTTGAAGTTCATTCTGCCTATCCAATAGCGCATCAACTTCACTTTGTATATCAAAGCCATTTAGTTTATCAGGTTTAAAGACAAATTTTTTTGTTTGATAGTTTGCTATGCTATTAAAAATAACATCTAAACTACGAGGCATGATGCCTGCATCATGCAGATTACCAGACATAGTATAAGTTTTGCCACTTCCAGTTACTCCATATGTGAAGAGTAAACTATTTTTACCATTAATAAGATTTCGAATAAGTGGCAATGCTACTATATCAAATACTTCTCCTTGAGAAGAGTTTGGACCAAAAATGTGACTAAAAGACGTTTGAATAGCCTTATTTACATTACGACCATTTGTTACTGATTCTGAAGGTGTAATAATGAAGCTTGTGTCGGAAATAATTTTTATACAAGATTCATCATTAGGATGAACCATTGGCCTTATGCGACAGAAGACTTTAACAGGTTCCTTAATTGCGTCGTTATCACATTTCGGTCGGTTTCCGTGCTTTCGTATTGCAACAAGTGGTTTTGAATTCCTAGTGGAAGTGAATAAGAATTACTGATTAGACGTTACTATTATTTATTCTAAATAAGTAGTTTAATTTATAAAAAAATATAATAATATGGAAAAATATAATAATATGATATAATAATATGGAAAGTTGTAAAATAAATATCGTTATTATCATAAAAATAAAATAAAATATAAACTTACACAGATTTCATGGTAGAACCAATTATCAAGTACAAGACTAATAAAAATTATCTCATACAATTGTTTAAGAACCTTATATAGATAAATTATCTCTATTATTTTCTATTTGTTATAAAAGTCGTTACATTTAATAAGTTAAAAATTCGAACATCTATGAACTGAAGTAAGCCTCTAGATCACTTATGGCGAGTTTCTATTTAAGGAAAGAAACGTTGAAAATTATATTAAGAGCAGAGAGGATACTCTCTGTTAGATGTAAACCTTTTATGAATTGTCCGTAGCACTATCATATAAACAGGTCCCGACACTCATATACCGAAGTTTAGGGCAAGCTATCTGAGAATGGAGTTGTGAAAAATCAGGGAACAGGCGAAAGAAGGGAACACGTTTTTCATTCTGCGCATGCGTGACATGCTATGAATGTTAGACAAAAACAGAGAAGTTTTTGTTTTTTATGTTGATTTCTTACGTCTAGTCACAATCCCCGGACGGTCTTCCGTAGTAAATGTTGAGACTTGTTTGTATGATCGTGATTCATATGTTGAAATAAAAATACGTATAAGCGCACCACTTGCGAGACGCTCACAACATTTCGACAGTTACATGATTGGACAGATATAGTTCCCCACCTCTCAAAAAGACATTGATGAAAACACACCCCCTAGACTGACTAGAATATAAGCATCAGACGCTTCAAGAGAAAGACACATTTAGATCATATTACATATCACACAAGACACTTTAAAAAAGAACTTTTCAAAATAAACATTCAGAATCACAATCTTACTAGAACTCTTTAATCAACCCTCCACCTTAAACGTTAATGTCATGCAAGGTACGTGACTCCAATCGAACATTTACAATTTAACTGATCGCCAACTAGTTGAGAGGTCGCAACAGATTTCTATTTTTGTTTTCCAAATTTTTTGTCGATTGATTTTCTGATAATTGATCGTTCTGTTGATTGTATTAGGATCTTACGAAAGAAAGAGTGGAACTTATCCCAAAATTTAATGAAGTGGGGTATTATATCTTTTATAACTAAAATTATATCAAGCAAAAGGCATTTTCAATAAAAATTGATTTATTGTTATGTACATGTATACTATTTCTTTGCTTGAATATCTTCTCTTAAATGTGTACCATCACAGAATGGCCGATTTGATGTTTGTTTGCAATTACACAGCCAATAATCTTTGGTTTCTTCAACTGTAAAACGTATAGGCTTCTGCTTGATTTGAAGAAATTGATTCCTATGCGTACCATCGCAGAATGGTTGTGTATTACTTTTACCACATAAGCACCATACATATATTTTACCAGCTGTGCACTTATATTTAAAAGGTTTATTATCGTATATAGCACCATTAATAGTTTGGTGATTTGCACTATAGACCTCTTTCAATGGGTTTTTAGGAATTTTCATATCATATTCCACTTTTTTACAATAACATCTAACCTGAAATATAGTTAGCATTCATATATTAGGAAGAAGAAGACAGCTTGAAATTGTATTAAAACATTAATAACCTCGATTCAACAACTTCTCCTTTTTGTTCTCGATATAATTTAATAACTTATTTTATTGTAAGGGATGGTAATTCTAAAATAGGTTAAGAAGTTAGGCTATTATAACTATAAACAAATAAAAATATAAAAACTATATTACGATATTTGAAATTTCATTGCAATTTCATTCACTTTTAACTTACATTTTGGTATTTCAAAATATTTGAATGAACAAAAAATGAAATTTTCTTTAAAGTTAAATGCATAATTAAAACGTGATATTCGATACACTGTAGTTCTGTCTTTGTCAATTCTCATAGATGTCAGTGCAATCTGCTCGTATTCGGCTAGAGGCCTCTGCAATAGTCGTTTGCGCATGGCAGTTGTGCGTTGCGTCAGAGTGAGGACAGTTCAAATTGAGGTGGAAAATTGCACCAGAGAAGAGAGAGAAATTGATAGAGTTGTATTTTGTATCTGTAAGAGGACTAATTCTGAATAGATTTAGTATAGTAAGTACTAATTAATCAGCTTGATCATTAATTTCCTTTTCACTTCTACCATGCGGTACTTATAAGCATGAGCCTGCTTCATAACGGTCAATTTATGATCAAAGAGGTTCTGTCATAATAGACAAGGAACGTAATAGTATATGTAGATATAGTAATATATTTTTCGCTTCAAGTCATAGAATATCAAGTATTTAATTATTGTATTTTATATTATTTCATGATTATATATTATATTCTAATATGAAAACATGCCGACTTTCAACTTTTACCTGAAACAGTTTCGGATATAATTAATAGTGTTTTGTCGACCGTTCATAAATTCCTGTTACGATTTTACAATCGACGCCACGAAACTGATCGGTCCCGTATTTTGTTTAAGATAATAGAAGTAGTTGAATTAATTATAAGGCTGAGGTAACAGGTTATGATGTACTCTTTATTTCGACAACAACTGTAGACAAGATGATTACGCTCGTTGCGTATATACAGGGTGGTTGGTAACTGGCGATACAGGCAGAAAGGGGGTGATTCTACGCGAAAAAAGAAGTCGAAAATATAGAATAAAAATTTTTCGTTTGAGGTCTTGTTTCCGAGAAAATCGACTTTGAATTTTCGCTCGGTACGTGTGCGGTACGTTATAACGGATCTCACTGTAGATCGTTGTCTCGATGGAAAAATTAAAAAAAAAAAATTTTTATTCTATATTTTCGACTTCTTGTATATATAGACATTGTATATATAGATATGTCGACGACTTGTATATATAGTATACAAGTTATTATGTTATATTATACAATTTTAGACAAAGTATTATATTTTCTAATGCAATATGGTTTATAAATAAATAGTATATTTTAACATAGTTTCAAGTAAAACAAACTTTATTTTTATTTGTATTGTATTATTTATGTATAATATTTAGTTACGTATATAAGTTATTACATAATATTATAGACCTTTAAAGGTATTATACCTTCTAATACTATTACGTCCCGCGACCCAACCACATGTTCTCGTCCATGCTTTGGTCAGGGTGGTCGATAGTTGTGCAAACATACTTGCTCGAACGCGCAATAATCCCAAGGAACCGTTAATTGCCGTCATAAGATTTAGCACTTTTTCCTTTACTGTCCAGGCCCTTAATTGCCACAATACATCTCTCAAGTTGAGACACTGCTTAGGGTTATTGCCCATTACGGTAAAACATGGGATAAGCGGGTTTCTCAATGTACGATACTGGAAGTCCACTTCCACCAGCGAGCGACCGTTGGTAAAGAATGGCCAGCACCCGTTACTAGTTTTCCTCCTCGACGTCATCGTCGCCGATCGTCACTTACTATTAACTCTTCGGTCAGTACACATTTTAACTTGCTATCCATTCTTCGGTGAAAACACTCCGACATATATCACAAGCAACATTCGTAGACACTTGTAGTATTCAAAAGTTGCTGGAAATAATGATATTATAATCGTTAACTCAGTGTTAACATCATTCAAACCATCTCTATTATCTTAATCGAAATAGGGGGTCGATTTGTGGCATCGATTATCGTATCGAGACGAGAACTTATGACTCTCGTTGTTGCGTTATACTGCGAACGCGTCTCCTTGCTAATTACGGTCAAACAAATACAATAGTTTGTAAGCAATATATTATATTACATTGTAAAATTAAATTTAATGTAAATTGTTACATATTTCTCCAATTTTATTGAATAAATTAATATTTTAAAGGCAATTCAACTGTTTTATCAATCACCTCTAATTCTATCGTTTACATTTTAGATGTAAATAAATACTGAAACTGTAAATAAACGAATCAAAAACGTAAATAAACATTAAAAATGTAAATAAACAAGTCAATGTTTGCAAAATAAAGCGAAAATTTCAGAAAACCGGGAAAAATTTCCAAAATCTTTTGTAAATAAATATTGGAGACGTAAATAAACAAAGCGTAACCAAAATAAAGGAAAAATGTCAACATTTAAAACTTCTCAGAATGGTGACGTTACTTCTAAGAATTTTTGCGAATTCTGGAATAGGACGTCTTTTTCATAGATTTTTCGCGATTCCGAGAATATGAATATACGTAATTTCCAAGAATATCTCGAATAAACAAGTGATTTAATTGTGAGCTGGGTGATTTTTCCACTTTCCCGTTTCAGAACTTCGTTTTAAAGTCTCTCAACTTGTTCTTATCGTCTTTTACGTTCTTCTTTCTCGTTATAGGATTGGGATTTCTAATGTTGCTGGCTGTGCGAATGATTATTAAATTGAATGAATGAACAGTTAATTAACTTTAATTAAACGTTTCTTCAAAGCTTTTAATTAATGTACAAGTTACATAAATTATATAAATTCTGAAATTCGACTATTCGTATTAGAATAACTTAATTAAATGACGTTGCGCGTTTTATAATGTTCTGATAGATCAATGATTTATACAATTCTAGCTAAAAATAACTGATACATGTGAAAATACAATATTTGTATACCTATCTGTCCTTGTCGCACACTAATGCGTTCCTTGTTTTTCATACGGAAACAGTCTGTCCTTGTTGCATAGTAATGCGTTCCTTGTCTACGACTACCCAAGTGCTGCCATCTATCGAATCTGGTTAAAAACACGAAAAAGTAACAGGAATATAGAACGTGCAAGGAGGTATCGCAAGAGATACTAGACAAGGACCGCACTATTGTGTGACAAGGATAAATACATATCTTGTGTTGGACGAAGAGGGCGGTAGTGTGCGATCAGGATAGAGACGTACCCTGCGATAGACACAGAGAGCAACACGGTATGACAAGGAAAGACAATATATGCATTCGACATATATTGGATAAAGAGGATGATATTGTGCGAGCAGGATAGAGATGTACCCTGTGTTAGACAGAGAGGGCGCCACTGTGTGACAAGGACAGATATATGCGCACTCTCCAGGTGTTAGAGAAAGAGGGCGACAATGTACGACAAGGACAGCAATAGCGATTAGTTCCAGTTCGTTCTATCTTTTCCAAAAAAAGCCTAATTGGAAGCATTAATTTCTGCTGTTTCGCCATTTTAATTACTTCTCCGTTTCACTGTTTTGTTTACTCCATTTAAGTGAATCCGCAATTGTCTTTTTATATAGCATTTGAACTTTAAAACGCGTATACAAAGTTCAAATTCTTAACAAACCTACTGACCGTACATATGTATATGAATTAAATTAGGCTTGCCTAATATGAATCTATAAATTAGATAATAATTTTTATAAATAAAATTTAGGTAATAATTCTAAGAAACTACGCTTATATTTTTTTTAGTATTGTTTTTAATTTTCGCTTTTCGGTTTACATCATATTTATATTTAATATTCCAAGCTCTTATCTTACTAATTACTTAACTCAAAACATTTTATCATTAGCTTACGTTCTGTTATAGTATGCTATCTTATCTATACATTTAACTTATCTATATCTGTATAATGGAATGTACTTACAATTACACTTCTATAATTAATTATTTTTAGAATGATCGTACAATTAGGCATGTACAATGCACGATTTGCATAATATATCTTATAAACGTATAACTCTATATGCAGATATAAAGGAATTTTATATACATATCAATTTACAAATTAATCTTACAGACACGAAATACAGTAACTATAAAAGGTACTTGCGCATACCCTTAGTTTCCAATAGAACTATTGTTTTTAATCAGATTCTCAATTTCATGTTTATAGTATCAAATAGTATCAAATTGTTACAGTAATATGGAAGTATCACTGAATGATATGACGTGATATGAAAATTGATATACTTAGATCTAATTAATTAGCCTGTAAATGCTACAATAAATACAATCTTACAATAAATACTTTTTATAGCTAGCATATGTACGCTTATGTATATCAGACATACACAACCCTAAATGCATTAAGAACAATCTCTACCGTCCTTTAAATCTTTTTAACTAATCCCTTGTTTTATAACATCATGAGAGATTATCGCCTGATATATTTTGCATCGTTTCAAACATTAGAAACGCCAATTAGAGTCGTCACATGTTTTGATGTATAAACATACGCAAAGAAGAAGAAAAAAGAAAATAAATACAAATTATGTCACTGACTATGGCACGGGCTGTAGTGAATTAATCCTTCGATTTAATTGACATGTTTTACGTGACTTAATCGACGTGTGAAGTATAATTAGCTCATCGTCATTTGCTTTGTATGTACAGTATATTATAAAGTGTTTTTCGATTTGTACACATTTGTGGGAAATGTTAAGTTTAAAAAATACACAAATCGTGCATAATACGCAAAGATATATAAAATATTTACAATAAACTTTTTAAATTATACATGTAAAGATATGAATCTGTATAAATATCCGTGGCTCTATAAATAATTATTGTCATTATGTTTATATACGATATGTAGCATATTAATATGACGAGTCATACTCGTTATTCGAAGCCAAATGGTTAGTTCATAAGAAAAAGATTTAGTCAAAGTTTTAACCAACTATGTTACATCTCTTACGACAATGATACTTTTCGAAATACAACGCGCATGCCAAACAATTCCACTTGGCAACCGCTTATCCACGAAACGTCGTCTTGCTGACAGCTTGGTGACATTTGCTAAAGAGGAGGTTGGTGTCAGGTTATCGAACTCTTTCTCATTTTTTTCTCATTTTTTTCATGGATAGCAGTTTTATCGCTGGGAAAGACGGGAGATTCGAGCTTTTGTTTTAGAAAGTAAGTAGCTTTTTTAAGCTTTGAATCGGAGCTCGTTGCTCCCGGGCGTGCCCGGATCTTTAAGGGATCAACTTTTCACTGGATCGCTGGAGGATGCATCCGATTCCTTGTTCCATTTCAACACTGCCTCGCAGACAGAGATAGGAATCTGCAATTTATTCATTTCTATAGAACATGCTGTTACGTTTATAACATTATAACAGACTGTACAGAGCAAAATCAGATTACATATTTACTTTGATGCCTTAACGTTATATCTCCTGTTGGGAACTTGTTGCCTTGGCAAGAATTCTATACATAGAAGGATATAAACATTGTCTTAGAAGACAGAAATTGTTATGTAGGATTATATTCTTTTTTTGAAAGAATTATTATACACAGTGATCAATTCCCATGTCTGGTATGTGATACTTTGAAGGTTTTAGATACGAGAAAATTTAAGCAGTCCATGAAAAGACACTTTGACGAATAGAATGCGTTCCTTTATTCCTCGTGATAAACTTGTCTTTTTTAAATGTAGACTTCCTTCGTCGATGCCCTCAGAGGAATTTTAGCAGAAATTTCGAAACTCATGAGTATCTGAAAAATTGACAAAAGTATTAATATATTAAATATATTATACAATATTTGCATTATTTAATTTGAGTTTTTAAATTGCGTGTAATGACTGAAGTATCCTTATCAATTATCGATTAATAATTCACGATCAAATCAATTATAATTCCTTACCAATTAAGTTTGCTCTCAAGTGTATCTCGAGAATCTTCAGCTTTAGCGTAGTTCGATAATAGAAGATTATTTTGCATTTCAACTTGCATTTTCGATACATCCGTGGAATTGTCATTGTCGATTCATTCATGTTCTATGTTATTCCTGCACCTGTTCAAGCGAAATAATCAATACAATGTTTCTTTCACCAATTCCATATTCTTTCATATTAATTAAATCAACGATAAAATTGCAACACCGAGTTCTCTTTCTTCTCAAATGAATAGAACAAAATTCGCAATAGAAATTTCTTAAGAAACAGACAAAGATAAAACGTAGATCGACGAAACAGTGAAAATAAAAAAACAGGAAAATTGCACTAGGAAGAGGCGAATGATTTAATTCTACTAATTAAAAAAGCTCCTCGATAATCTTGTTCCTTGGTAGATTCTTCAGTGTTTCAATTCTTCTTGAGACATTTGAGAAGAGGAAAGTTTTATGCAAACGCGAGCCATCTCTGTCGGTGCTTGCCTTTGACCGTTGCGATCAGATGAAAAGCGGAGTTTTTTCTACAGCGACGCAGGTGAACGGCCGGCCAGGTGAAAAGCTGACAGTTTGAATAAAGCACGCTGAGCTGAATTACGGGAGACATGACCGATCCAACGTCGACATCTTCTAGACGGCGCCAGATCAGCCAGAAGACCCGAAGGAAATCAGCGTCCACCAGGAAGTCTCAGAAAGGCTTCTTCAGGTAAGAGCGCCCCTGTGAAATGATAAACACTTTACAGCTTTATATTTGGAGAATTTTTAAATCTTCATACAGGGTGTCTTATACAGAAGATTTAATAATGCATCGAATATTGTATGTGAAAGTATAGGGGGTGCAGTTCAACCCTTTCTTATATGCAATATTATACTTTTAACGTGTATTACTATATACGTTTGAATTAATTTATTAAAAAATAAATGTATTGGTAACGTTCGTGCAATTTTATGCTTTATACACACATAATTGAAAAAATGGAACGTGATTAAAAATTTATTTTATCTACTGTATGACGTAGCGAGTACATTATTTTAGATATTTTGCTTATTATGTGCATCCTATGCGTGTTCGCGGTATAGTTATTATGCAGAGTGATCTTTTAAATTAGGATCATTGAAATCTGTACTTTTTAGATCACAGAACTATTTTACCAAGGGCCATGAACACTTGGGAGAAGCTAGAAATGTCCTGGAGGAGCAATCTCCATTCGTCTATCCTCCTTGTTCGCTCATGTTCTCTTATTTTCAATATTGGAAGGCGAAAAAACGTACCACAGATAAAGAACGAAGAATGGATGTCTTCAAAGCCAAAGACTCGCACGATCTTCTACGGAGACTTCGTGTAAGGAATTACAATTTTGATGTGTGATTTTAATACATGCGGACTATACCAGGAATTATACTCTTACAATTATTGAATTCGGCAATTTGTTTAAAAAAATGTTCACTTACTTGTATTGCGAATATTTGCTATTTTGCGATAAACGATATACCAATCAGAGACTTAATTATTACACCATACATTCCTATCAATGTACATTGCAGAATATATTAAAAGGTATTAATCGTTCGTACTCAATATTTGCGAGAGTATAAATATTTCTATGATTTGTTGTAGAATTCAATCTAAATGTCTACTATGGTTAGGAAGAAAAATACTCTAAAGTATAGAAATGTATAAAATTAATAATAAGTTTAAAATTAGAAAATTTAAAATCGCAAGTAAATTTAATCAATTTATTATGAAGATTTTTAAGCCTGTGAACGTTTAATTACTGATTGAACTTTGATTATTCGATTTCAGAAAAATTTCCTTGCTTGATACGAGTTGTACGATTATGTTGCAAGGTGGACGTGGACATCGAGGCTCTAGAGGCGAAGAAACACAAAGATTTGGAAGAGGCTATAGCCATGACCGACGTAGATCCGCAGTATTTCTCGGAATTGGGTGGAGGGCTGGTCAGGGAAAAATTTTCTGTGCACAACTATGTGGAAGATACTCGTGAGATTTTAAAGGTTCGGTTGCTAGCTGGACAAGAAATGGATGATTGTATTCGTATAGACCAACAGTTCGTCGAGGAGCAGAAACGACTCGATGAGATCAAGGTCTGTCTTTGCAAATCTAAAACCATAAATTTGTTATTAATATATAACAAGAAAAAAAGATAATAGATACCAAAATAATGTTTCTATGATAAATCTCATATCGATACGTACCAAATTCTTCTATTAGAATGTCTAGAATATTACAAATAGGATATGCATTGTTAATTTATTTTTTCCAGCAATTTAAAGAACGATGACTTATTTCCTGACAATAAAACAATTGTTTTCCTCTTTATTCTTACTTATTTCCTTAGCTAGAATATAAAGTCTCTAAACATAGCGCTAAATTATAGACAGATATGTATTTTATATATTATAATCTCGTTTCCTCAATTCGATCAACATTGAAAGATTAAATAGGAAAAATTGCAAATTCCTCCCAATATCTCATTCTTCGTTTAAATTTCTAATAATTATTTTTTCATCCAAATCTCTGGTATCTATTCCTCATCAATACTATATGCTTCATCTATCCTACCAGCGACGATATCGTCGATACGTGAGCGGTTTCGAGGAGTTCCTTTCGAAGGATCACGAGGAGAGCATGAAGATTCTACAGTTGGCTGAAAACGAGATAAAGAAGACTAGGCAGATCACAGACACGAGGAACAAGCTTTCCGCAGAGTACGGTAAGGTCAGACTGGACGTGTATCATTGGGAGGAGAGCTGGAGGACAGTGAAGATGTGTCAAAGATTCCTCTATCAGGTGTCTCCGCTCGCTTGGCGGGCGGAATACGACTGGATTCATCGCACTGATTCCGGAGAAAGCATCCTTCACAGAGCTGATGATTTATTCGGTCGATACAGAATGGTCGACGAAGTTGCTTCGCTTGACGTTCTCATAGGTAATTCGTGTTGTTCTACATTTGCATGTTTTCTTTACCTTGGAAAAGATTCTATGTTAGAAGATATTTCGTTAATGTCTTGCATGGAGGTCTTATTAATTATTTCATACCTTTAAACTTACCTTTTTCTCTTCGAGATTTATTTTTCGTTCATCGTCGCGAAAGGAGTCTTGGAATAATCTTCAAGAACGTTTCTCGGCTTTGACTAGATCGCGGATGTTTGTACAATTATAGACAATCCTAAACGACAATATGGAAAAATGCGACAGAATATGCAAAGATGTGCAAAATATCCCAATCGTTAATTGTAATTTTGCAGTGAGAAAGATTTAGTAGTAATATTTAACAAACAATATAATATTTAGCGGACAAATCGTTAGTTAGAATATTTGCATTCTTCGCATCGAAGTGCTGAAAATTATTGCTTCGTATTTTTAGACTTGTTCGAGCAAGACATTGACAAGGCAGGTCCGACAAATATATACTTCGAAGACCCATTTGAACTGATCTACGTGTTCAGAGCGATAGAAACGCAAAATCTGAACGCGTTGATTCACTTGGAGTCTCTGGCGAAGCCGATGTCTGAATTGATGGTGACGATTCAGTCCGCTGAAGAACAGATCCAGGCAGAAGTTACGGAAATAACCAACACAATCAACGAGCTACGAGTAAGAATTCGATTAATCAACTCGTTAAAGGCCAATCGATAGTTTATCATGCTGTTATAAACTTACAAACATTTCTTCTTCTTTCGAATCTTTAGAATTCTCCTTTATATAGCCACATCGTACGAAAATATAACGCAAGTTAATTGAAAAGAATCGCGTCAATGAAACGTTTTTTGGCTTTTAATGGGTTGAGAATTATAAATACAAAATACAAAATACCAGAAATAAAGAAAATAAAATAATTACAAGTGAAACAATTTTAAGAATCATGGCACACAATACTTACGATGATAAATTCAGGATACCATTCGCAAACTCGAAGCTAGAGCCGCGGAATTGGAAAGTTACGCGAACGAGCTTCTAGAAACGTTGTTCCGCGATTCCGTTTGTTCCGAGGAAGTGCTCCGTCTTCAAGTATTCGTCGAGGACACGTATGAAAGCTGCGTGGCGCCGAACGATGCGAACCTGGACAGTTTCTCCATGATGAAATGGATCGAGAAGACGCACGAGGAGTTGAATTTGAAGCTGGATACTCTACCACCGGAAGTGGTCCAAGCTTGCGAGAAGGAAGGCTTCAAGCAGGAGCTGAGGGCTATGAAGGAGACAGAGGAAGCTGCCAAAAAGGTCAGATAACTCAGAATTATAATTCTCCATTCCCCGCTTTCTGAATGCATCATGGCATAAACTGCGGATGTTTATGCATTTATGGAGATAATGCACAAAAGAACTCGTGGAAAGTTTCAAAAGGCAAAGGCACGCTTAAGGGAAATTTAATAGTGGAAAGACATATTTGTGAGAAACTCAAAGTTACAAAAATACATTTATGGGAAATTTAAAAGGGCAAAGATGCGCTTATGTGATATTTAAGGGCGCAAGGATGCATTTATGAGAAACCTAAAGTTGCAAAGACGCGTTCATGGAAAATTTAAAAGGGCAGAAATATATTGTTGGAAGTCTTAACGTGCGAAGATGTATCTGTGGGAAACTTAAAAGTGCGATTATTCGCTTATAGGAAATTTCAGCGTACAAAACGTATACAGGGTGGTTGGTAACTGGTGGTACAAGCGGAAAGAGGGTGATTCTACGCGAAAAAAGAAGTCGAAAATATACAATAAAAATTTTTCGTTCGAGGCTTTGTTTTCGAGAAAATCCACTTTGAATTTTCGCTCGGTACGCGTGCTGTACGTTATAACGGATCTCACTGTAGATCGTTGTCTCGATGGAAAATTTAAAAAAAAAATTTTTATTCTATATTTTCGACTTCTTTTTTCACCCCCTTTCCGCTTGTACCACCAGTTACCAACCACCCTGTATACGTTTTGTACGCTGAAATTTCCTATAAGCGAATAATCGCACTTTTAAGTTTCCCACAGATACATCTTCGCACGTTAAGACTTCCAACAATATATTTCTGCCCTTTTAAATTTTCCATGAACGCGTCTTTGCAACTTTAGGTTTCTCATAAATGCATCCTTGCGCCCTTAAATATCACATAAGCGCATCTTTGCCCTTTTAAATTTCCCATAAATGTATTTTTGTAACTTTGAGTTTCTCACAAATATGTCTTTCCACTATTAAATTTCCCTTAAGCGTGCCTTTGCCTTTTGAAACTTTCCACGAGTTCTTTTGTGCATTATCTCCATAAATGCATAAACATCCGCAGTTTATGCCATGATGCATTCAGAAAGCGGGGAATGGAGAATTATAATTCTGAGTTATCTGACCTTTTTGGCAGCTTCCTCTGTCTCCTTCATAGCCCTCAGCTCCTGCTTGAAGCCTTCCTTCTCGCAAGCTTGGACCACTTCCGGTGGTAGAGTATCCAGCTTCAAATTCAACTCCTCGTGCGTCTTCTCGATCCATTTCATCATGGAGAAACTGTCCAGGTTCGCATCGTTCGGCGCCACGCAGCTTTCATACGTGTCCTCGACGAATACTTGAAGACGGAGCACTTCGTAAAAATTACTTAAAGTATAAAACTATTAAAGACGAATCGTTGCTTAAATTTCGCTTCTTTAGTTTATTTTATTATCTTTATTTATTTATTTTAGTCCGTGCCTTTCGGCTGTGGACGACTTCCAGATTACATCTCTTACATTGTCTTTGCACTTCTTTAGTTATATTTCTAAAAATTTACGTAAATATCCGCGGCCCGCTTATGGTAGAGGTAATTGAAATATACTTCGATGGTTTCGCGCGTTCAAAATGTCAAATGTGAATTTGTCTGTTATAGTTTGAGCTTATGCAGCGATTGCTGGCATCTCTGCAACGCGCTATAGAGCCGCCTCCGATAAAAAGGCGGCCTGCAATGCGGCGATCGACTCCAAAAACTCAAAGGTTGAAATCGATACCACCCCCGCCGAAGCCAACCGAGCAGGAGATGCAATATTTGATCTTTTTCACCAACTATTGCAAACAGGAGGACTTCACCGCCTATCGCGATCAATTTCCGGACGACTTTGACCTGACGTTCCAGGATAAATATTCGGAATCGATCAAAAGTGCGGGATCCGAGAATGACAGGGAAGAAGAAGATAACAGTCAACGAGATTCGAAGAGTCAAGAAGAATCGAAAGAGACTCTACAAGATTTTAATATCGCTGAGAACGTCGAATGATCGAAC